CCGGTTGTAGTGGAAGGTCACGTCAGAGGTCATATGAGCGTTTTTTGACGCTATGACGTCAGACATTTGATTAACCAATCAGTGTTGATGTTTCTAGTGGGTTACCCACAGTTCCATACACCTCAAGCCAAAAACTCGCCATAATAGACCGTTTCATTGGCTAATTCCTCACATCACCCAGAACGTGGGTTATAAAACAACTCTTCCAGATCCTATTGTAGTAAAGACAAGTAAAACAAAATTTTGAACTATTAAAAAAAATACGAAACGAAATGAAATAGGATCTGTGCTTTAATCAGATTGGTGAAATCTTTTCCAAGAATTTGAAATAAAATCATTAAAAAGAGCTTTAAAAATGGTTTACCAAATATGGTGAGCTTGCAGTACTCTGTTATTGATTTTAAACTCTACAATATAACAAATGAAAGTAAAATGGTGTAAATATGGTTTGAATATATCACTGTCTTTATAAAGTTTACGGGCCGAAAAATTAATTACATCCCTACTATCCAACCTCGTGTGTTTTCTATGGGTCTTCTGATTTCCTACCACTGCTAAAGACCCCTATGTGCAAATGAATTATTGAAATATATTAGTTCCGAAATGACCTAGATTGGGTTGTGTGGCCGTGAAACTCTCTCTCTCTCTCTCTCTCTCTCTCTCTCTCTCACTCGGCTAAGTACACACCAGACAGACAGTACTGGGTAGTTGGAATTAAAATAGAAGACTGTTACATGACGTGATCAATGGAGTGTTATTGATCCCATCTTTTATTAGTGTAAAACTGATTGTTAATTACACGAACCAGGTAAATATACCTGTAATCAGAGCTACATATACCTGTATTATATACCTGTATTGTAATCAGAGCTATATATACTGATAGGTGTAAGTACCTTGATTAACCAAGCCTTTGATCAGAATACAACTCACAATGTAACCTTGCCATCTATTTCCAAGGTGTTTGATGGCAAAGTGGTCTAATGGGTATGATGTAGGTCATAACGCCTGTTAAATGGCCGAATGTTTAGCATATGGGCGTTGTATCATAAGGTCTGTCATTGAGTCAGCTGCCATGGTTTTGATTCCCAGGTTGTATGTGACAAGGAGTAGGGTCACCTGTCCAACCTCATGGGTTTTCTCCGGGTCCTCTGTTTTCCTCCCACTGCTAAAGACCCCCCTACGCGCAAGCGAATTATTGAAATAAAGTTTAACCATATGTCTTTCTGTCTGTTAAATGCAAGTCTTGGATTTCAATCTGTGTTTTCTCTGGTTTCTGCACACGTCGTATACTGTACCATATATTTAACCCTATTGCTCTCTTTCTGTTTTGTTAACATGAAATACAGTATCATTATTAAGCAATATCATAATCTAAATGGACAACCTATTGGCGATGACTGTCATACTGAGATCATCTTCAATCGTCATGTGGCTTATTTTCACAAAGGCAACTTTTCTGGACCTTTTCTTTTTTTTTTACTGGATTATCAAAAATACAGTTAAATGTGCTAATTACTTGGATTATGAACCACACGGCTGATTCTCACTAAGGTATGACAGTTGTTGTAGCCAACAAGCAAGTTGATTGACTACTTAATTAAAAATCAGTAATTAACCCATTGTAATTTAGCCGAGAGTAGATTGATTTATGATACCATAGTGGCCGGTTCATTGTTTTACCAATCAGTTTTTTCGAAATAAAGCAGCTGAAGCCTATAATAATGGTCTGATTAAGATCCCTGCTATGACACTAAAATGATTTTAAAAGTAAATCATTGAACCGTATCGGTTTATATTAATAATGATGAGTATAGTACATGTATTGTGTTGTATATGTGAACATGTACAATACACCAGTACATAGAGTCACATGAAGGATTGAAGATATATGAAAGTATCAGTGATATATGACCAGGGTAGTTTTTAATACAGCCATTTACCCACTAATAAACATACATTATTCAAGAACTAAATCTGTCTACTGCAGGTCTTTCTTTAGCCCTTAGATGTTATAAATTATTAATTAGGCATTTATTAACGATTTCCGGCGTGGTTCCTCCTTGTCAGTGATGCAGGACGGAGGGCCTGACAAGGACAGCTGTCTAGTCGTTCGGATGGGACGAAAAACCGAGGTCCTGTATACACATTGGCGTGCACGTAAAAGATCCCTTGACAGTTGGAATTCGATATAAGAGTAGGCCGTAGTGCCGCAGTCCGAGCAAAATTTCCCTCATAGCACACTGTATGGCGTATGTCCGTCTTCATTAGCCCAGTTCGGAGCAGAACAGTAGGACGTTAAACCTCATTTCATTTAGATTTTAACTAGATTAGAAGGATTCACCATTTAAGAATTTAATTTAATAAAGTGAAAGCGAGGCTAAGTCTTTAAATACCAGTACCCAGGTTACCACAATGCGCACATCTTGTCAAAACTACAAACAATGATAACTTGGTTCAGAATGAAGTACATGTAATTTGAATGAAATTTTCAATATTTTCATTTTACATTATCTACCTAGTATAGCAAGAATGATCAGCTCTTTATCTAAATCTTACATAATGTATCTTTAAGGGTTAGACTTAAACTATTATAACTGGGTACCTAAAATAGATTATGTAAAGTAAATTGAACTTAATACCTAATTTGAATGTTAAAAGTGTAAACCATGTAATATTGTCATGAGTGACTAGTGTTTGTATGGTTCAATAATTTTACCAGCAGGTTTCCCCTTCAACCATGAGTAAGCGTATTTTTTATTATTTGGAAGATTTAGAGTACTTTGTTTGTCCTAGTTTGATAGAGAAGTGTATATGACATATGTATTTGTTGAAGAGATAAAATATCAGCATATTCTAACAGTGTACGTGACACAACAATCTACTGGGGTCACATATTGTAATTTAAGTTAAAGATAGGTACTATTTATTGTACGTTGAATAACTGCTAAATCTTTTGAAATTGTATAGCCGTTTGTTGCAAAAGTTTTTAAGTGTGAATCCATTTCGATTTGAAATGGTTCAAATATTATCCAACATGACATATCATTTATGTCGCAGTCGGGATCAGTCATGGAAAGCCCAATTATTTGTATCGTAACATTTCTACGCGCATATCAGCCTTCTAAATGATTTGATTGGCTTTTTGGAGGGTGCACGGAATGGGCTATTTCGAAATAGGATAATAGATGCCATTTCTCTTGGGAGAGCTTACTAAATTGAACAAATGTGGGGTCATAAACTGTTATATAAACGATCAAATTTCGTTTCAGTGAGGTAAAAATAAATTTCACTCATTACAATTTCGATTCAAGAAAAACCAAACGTTTTTTTTTGTTGATATTTGGTTGGCCTTAAATGCCATCCACGATATATCTTGTCATTTACATGTATGTTAACAATTTCTTTCTACAAGAGCCATAAATAGTTTGAAAAATGGATCTTCTGACAAGATTGTGACCTGATCATATCACTGAGTACATGTAACATTATATCTCTGTATCAATACCTTTGATATTTACATCATATATCACTATCAGTACCTGTATCTGTACCTGGCTATATTTACATCATATATCTTTACCTGTATCTATAAGGTTAATATTTACATCTATATTTAAATCATATCAGATTCTAACAGTAGTGTGAGATGATTAAAATTATTTGAATTGTAGCCTGGTGTAATATATCTTATCTGACTAGGTCACACCATGTGAAAACCAAGTTTAAAGAGACAATATACCAGAAAAAAAATCTATACTCGATCAAGTAGCCTGATCTTTTTTCTTTTTTTGATTGAATTTGATTTCACTGTAGAGTTACATAGAAAGATTGTCAGTGGTAAAGGTCAGAGGACAGGTTCCAGTCGTTCTAGAACTGTATACGTTGACAGGTTCCAGTCGTTTCAGTCGTTCCAGAACTGTGTATACGTTGACAGTTGGAATTCGATATAAGAGTAGAACCAACACTGTTGTCCCAAGCATAGCCCAGTTGTTGTCCCAAGCATAGCCCAGTTGTTGTCCCAAGCATAGCCCAGTTGGTGTCCCAAGCATGGCCCAGTTGGTGCCGACAATTGGGACGTTAAACCCCATTTCATTTCATTTGTTGATAACGTCGCCTACCATGTACTAAATGATATACACCATCTTGATTGCCAACTGATTTCAGAATTTGAATAATTTTAATTGTTGTAGTATGATTTTGACTAATTACTGTTTATAGATTCATAACAGGTGAAATCTGTCATATCAATATGATACATGAATTGAACTAAAGATTAATAAACACATTGTAGTTGTTTTTGTTTCATGCAGAAATTTGATATTTGTTACGTCCTAAATAATTCATACTGTTGAAATATTTTTATGATTTATTGTCTGTTTAATAAATGGAGTGATAACATATTGATCATAATAATAGTATGATAAAATACCCTGGTATATCAATACATATCGAGATAAGAGAAAATAGGAAATTATTGAATTATTATTTCAGTTATGTTCTGTCTATAAACATGTATGTATGGTACTTGGTCTTGTACGTGACAGCAGTAGGGTCACCTGTCCAACCTTGTGGGTTTTCTCCGGGTGCTTTGGTTTCCTCTAACTTTAAAGGCCTCTGTGCAAGTGACGTATTGGAATAGAATTGACAGGTTATTTCGGGACTAACATATGGTTCAATTTTATTTCAATAATTTGCTTGTGTGAAGGGGTCATTAGCAGTGGGAGGAAACCAAAGGACCTGGAGAAAACCCACAAGGTTGGACAGGTGACCCTACTCCTTGTCACATGCAACCGGGGAATCGAAAATTGAAACCATGCCAGTTGACGCAATGACTCGACCATCATCCCCCCCCCCCCCCTGAAATATAAATTGAACCATGTGTTAGTCACAAAATGACCTAGTAAGTGTCAGGTGGACATAAACCTCTCTCTGTCTCTGTCTCTGTCTCAATAATGACCATAGTCAATGAATATTAACTTTCTGTTTATCTTTTTCAGAAATTTAGTTCTTGGAGTAGATAGCGAAAAAAAAGTAACAATGGCGAACAATTCTGTTGGTGGACATTTTGATTTTGTCTTGGCTGGTGTTGACTTTAATTTACCTGGTAATGGCGGGAAGGAGTGTTCAGAATTTCTCTCCCTGACTCAAAGACTCATCGAAAGTGGATTATCGTGTTTGTTCGCTGTATATCTATTTTGGTGCACGTACAGTAAATTAAAGTTACCTCCCCTGAGAGAAGATGCTTTAAATCGTGAGATGGATTATTGGGGTAAACGTGTCATGTTATTGTGTATGTGTTTAACTTTTGGTATTGAGTTAGGATTTAAATTTGCGACCCGACAAATGATATGGATATTTAACCCCTGTCACGTAGCAAGCATAGTTCAGGTAAGCATTCTGTTTCAGTGATTATCATTGGTTGATAATATGTCAGGTGAAGTAAGTCTGGCGTGGTTTCGATTCCCCGGTTGTACGTGACAAGGAGTAGAGTCGTCTCTTCAACCTTGTGAGTTTTCTCCGGATCCCCCGGTTTCCTCCGACTGCTAAAGACCCCTACACGCAAGCGAATTATTGAAATAAAGTTATTGTGTCGAGTGGACGTTAAACCCCATTTCTCTTTCTATCTCACCTGTAGACAAGCAATAACAACAAATCAAAAGACATGCATTTAGACCGGAGGGGGGGGGGCATCAAATGGGCACAAAACCAGACCCAACTTTTCTAGAGTAAAATTTTGCTCGGGGTCAAATGAGTTCATTTGCACTGAAAGTGAATGCGCAGTTATTCTTGTATTATGAAAAGAAGCTGAAAATGATCGAAAGTAATCACACTTTCAATAAAAATGTAAACTTGCTAAATTCACGTGGAGTCTTGGTGACCCTGGAGGTCAAAAGGTCAAAAACGGTAAATTTCATTTACATTGTATGTAGCATGATAAACATTTTATTTAACACTAGTAAATAACCAAACAAGTAAAACAAGTAACAAATAAAAATGGAATACATGTACCTGGCTTTAATGGTGTTTATTCGTTGAATTGGCTCAGAGTTTTTATTTAAATCATTTCTTCCCAATTTCTACATATACAACTGTATCTAGTTGACTGATTGCTTTATATATGTACCTGTCAACCAGTGTGCATGTATTAATACTTGTAACATGGATGGGAAATCTTTCTTTGTTCTTTTCGTTGAATAAGCAGATTGTTTTCCCTCTAGTTGATTGGGTTGAGCATGACCGTGCAATAACTAGACATTTTCAATGTTATTGCACACTTTTGCTGGTTTACACTAGTTTTAGTAGAAATCATATAGAGGAGTGGGGTGGGTTTTCTGTGCAATAACAATAAGCATATTGAGAAGTTGTCAATGTTAAGTCATTTATAGCATGCTTCATTCGTTAACAGGTTTAACCCCTCGACCTCTGGTTAAACCTGTTAACTCATGCACGCTGTGCTATAAATATTACATTTATACCCGCAAACCAAAATATGAAATTTAATTAAACTTAAAACAAATTATATGCAATTGAGGTTATTGTCATTTTATGTTAAAATGGAAATTAAAGAAAGCGAGAAAAGAAAAAGTTTTGAGTAGGTTTCAGATTGGCAATCTGGGTTTGTCTAGTTGTATTCTCCACTTAATGGTTGCTAAAATATCTTAAAAAGATTGCTGACAAAACTACATTGATATCAATATATTAAAGAAAAGTTGCACAAATGTTGACTAAAAGTAGGTTTTGTTTTCAGATATATTTATTAGCTGCACCTCCTAGAAGATATGTTACTGGTATTTTCCGTTTTCACATGCACATGTTAACAGGTGCTCCAATAGCTCTATTATTTCCTGTTGTTAATACTAGATTGGTGAGTCTTATCACTGTAACCTGGGTAACATTTAATCTTGTCTATCTACCACTAATTTCTTTATCATTTACTTAATATCAAATCAACCAAAATCATCTACCGGTAATTTGTACTTGTGTGCAGCTTAAAGCTGACTGATTAATTTTCATAATGAGTGTCTAATTTACAAGCCTTTAATTTCTCGATCACCATTAAAAAATAATATACATGTAAGAGTAGGCCATAATGCCGCTGGCTGGACAAAATTCCCCTCATAGCACAATGTATTAACCCAGTCGGAGCAAACAGTAGGATGTTAAACCCTCATTTCATTTTACATACGCCATATAGTGTACTGTGCCCAGACAGCTACGTTGCGGCCTTATATTCGTCCAATTCAAACTGCAATGTATTCTTTTACGTGTACATGTACATAAACATGTACACTACAAGGGTGATGCACACTTGGATATCCTGAGGAACTTTCTCAGTCGACAATATGATGATTGATGGCTGGTTAGTGAACCATTGCCTTACTCAGTGAACCAACAGTTTGTTTTTGATATCCGCAATCAGTCACACCCTTTAAAGATAGTCTGATCAAATAATAAAGTTCCGAATCCAGGCCTGTTGAGATAAGACGCCATTATTTGTTTATATAAATATTTTTGTTTTTAGTTACCATTTGAAGCAGAAACCTATTATATACAACATATATTAATGTTAGTCATACCATTTTATCTAATGAGAATGGGAGGTAAGTACTTATAATAATTTTTAAAATATAGATGTGACGTCATCCTTTGATTTCAAATAATCGTACGGGCAATGTGCCAAGTGTAACTACATGTAGTTAAAATATTGAAAACGAGTGACCTCAGGGCCCTCTTGTTGTTACAATATATTACTTAAAGGAGCTAAATCGCTAATATTTGGTACCTAGAAATTGACACAAATGGGTCGCAACACATATAATAATGTAATATGAATGTATATAAATTGATGATTTACGTTCAATCGTTTCCGTTTTTATTCTAATTTCAAGTCAGTTATGTTCGGCGAAATAATCCAGAGGTCTCAATAGAATGGCAGTCACTAGCATCTGGTTATTCCAGTCTACACCGATAGTATTTATTGTGCATGCTCTTCAGATAAGAATATGAGGTCACCGTTTGACATGACTCGAGGAATATATCTAGCCTCGTTTTTTGAGTCCCTTGTTACAAATGGCACCGAAACACATTATGGTACACGATTTGTGTGCCAAAGGTAAAATGTTAATTTTGTCTTAAATATTGGATATCAGAAGCCCATCTTTTCCCTGTAAGATCACAACATCAAAGTTGATGTAAATTGACAAATAATTTGTGTTTTCAATGTCGCAGCCCGTGGATGATATGGAGTTGGAGACTTAGCTACTTTAATGTCTCGCTCTCAACCATTAAACAATACTTAGTTTTCAACTACTGTAAGACAAGAATTTAAATCATCTTGAATGTAATGAGGGATAATCTGATTACAATACAGGGCCCTTATTCACGAAAACTTAAACTAAGTTACAACTGAAATTTTAAGAAATACTTCATTGGATATATGTAAATTGATTTTACTGGTCAGCCAATCGAATTGCAGTATTTCTTAAAATTTTGATTGTATCTTAGTTTAAGTTTTCGTGAATAAGGGCCCAGATCTATATTTCGTTTGTTTATACTTTCAATAGCCTACACTACATGAAGATTGGATTACAGGGAGCCATATTAATTTCAATACTCCTTTATGTTGATCCCTTTTTAAATCTTATTTCATTTCGTTTTTTATTGTTCAAAATTCCATTTTACTTGTTTTTACTACACTAGGATCTGGAAGAGTTGTTATATTAACAGCGTTTTGGTTGAAGTGAGGAATTTGCCAATGAAACGGTCTGTTACGGCGAGTTCTTGGCGTGCAATGCACGGAACTGTGGGTAAACCACTAGAAACGTCAACGCTGATTAATTAATCATGTCTGATGTCATGGGGTCAAAAGCCACTAGAAACGTCAACGCTGATTAATTAATCATGTCTGATGTCATGGGGTCAAAAGCCCCTGACATAACCTCCACTACAACTGGTCAGATCTTCATTTAGTAGAGGCCATTGAAAGTATAAAAGAATGAAACAAAATTTAGATTTGTATTTGAATTAGATTTCTGACAAAAGACTATGACAATAGCTTTTTTCTCGGTACACGTAAGATAGCTTAAAAAGGCTTTTGGTAATGTCAGAATAACCGAATCGATATATTTATTTTCTATTTGTGATAGATATATTAAAATTATTTATTCATAGTCAGGAATGTACGTGATAAATGATATGTACATATGTAATAACAGATATCCTTTATTATTTACATACCAGTATATTAAATATAGTCCCAATCTATTGTAATCTAATAATATTAAATATAGTCCCAATAATAAAACATGCACATGAATAAATTAACAATACATGGAAACAAAGAGAATAAGCTTATATAGAATTAGGGTAATCAGTCTTGTTTCAATCGGGAGGGTTGGATGGCCGAATGGCTATCACGTGCTCGCTGTATCCTAAGATCTGTCATTGTACGTGACAAGGAGTAGGGTCGTCTGTCCAACCTCGTGAGTTTTCTCCAAGTCCTCTGGTTTCCTCCCACTGTTAAAGACCCCTACGCGCAAGCGAATTATTGAAATAAAATTGAACCATATGTTAGTCCCGAAATGACCTAGTTTGTGTCGAGTGGGCCTTAAACCCCATTTCTCTCTCTCTCTTTCAATCTGGTTCTTTTGTTAAAATTAATGAATAGGAAAACTAAAATCCTTCCAGCCAGACCTTGAAATAAGGCAACTGTCACAGACAATGTCAGGCATTATTTAAGAGTGATATGAAGTCCAGGTGATGGTTATATATTTAAGATTGATATGTTTTTCAGTTTATTGTTATGTATTTAACCCTTTCCATGCGAGACGTAAATCCACTGCCTGTGTTAGACCCTTTTTTGAGGAAAAAAGCGGGGTTGGAACTGAATGCCAAACAGTACTTATGAAAGCTTTTATGAAAAATCTTTTTGTCTTTTGGGATGGGCATAAGGTTGGGCTAAGTGGAAAAAAATAGAATTTTGGAAATTTGCATAATAATGTCACGTGACGTCATGGCGGCCATTTTGGATTTCTCATTTCTCACTAAAGCTAACACGAATACGAATTTTTCTCCAGGAAATACTTATGAGATATTGTTTTTTTCACTGGATTTTGATAAAGATATATAAAATGAACAAAAATATCAATAGCAGCCATGAGCAATGCCACGACGAACACGCGCATCACATCTCCCGCTGCCATGACCATGTGCGGATTGCAATACCTTGTTTTCACTTTCACTTTCATCCCCAAGTCCCATATCATGATATCATTATCAATATAGTCAGTCAATAGATCTACGCGTTCGAGACTCAGGAATTGCCTACGCCCTTTACGATCCAGCAGGTCAGCATTATTATCAACATCAGAATTATTGTCAGAATCTACGGCAGACACAGGGCTATCGTGTTCACATTGGGCTTGTTCATCATGCACGGGAGACATAGCCATAGGCGGAACGTCGCGCAACAATTCACACACGTACTTCATAATACCAATCACAGTCCTCACTACTATCATTATCAAGTAACTGCAAACGAATTATGTTTATCACCCGCCTCGAAATTGTCCACGTGTTGGTCTGCAAGACGTCATTCACTACTTTGTCGAGAGTGCATCGTCTACGTTGTCACTATGCACTCCGCCATTTTACGGTTTGCTGCTTTGAAACACATGGAAATATGTTCTAGTGTATAGAAAATACAATAGATGGCACTTGCAGTTACGGTACTAATTTTAGCGTTGGCTTTACTGAGTACACGGTAATACCGGGTACACGTATTTTAACGACATTTTATAATAACCGGTACTACCGGGTAGACGCAATGAAAGGGTTAAGAGTGATATGTTTACCAGTGGATGGTTATGTATTTAAAAGCACAACTAGCTGTTGAGGAACAGGCCTGGACATAACAGTTTTCGATGTACCTGAAATTTTCAACTTATTGCCTGACATGTATTAATAATATCAATAAAAAAAACAAATCAGTGCTGGACAAAATGACAGGCACTAGAGGATTAGTGCCTGACAAAGCCTGAATCTATGCCTCCTGACATTGTCTGTGACAGGTGCCTTATTTCCAGGCTTGTGTTGGTGGTACATATAATTAACATATTGTATTTATTTTTCAGGTGTATACATTCCTGAACAACTGGGAGATTTTAGTTGGGCATTGATGACGTTAGGTTTTCAAATTATATATCACTTTGTACCGTTACAAACAGCTGCTCTTGTAAGTAGTTTATATATCTAACAAATATGGGGTTTAATGTCCTACTATTCTGCTTCTACCGGGCTAATGAAGACAGACATACGCCATACAGTGTGCTATGAGGGAAATTTTGCCTGGGCAGCGGCACTATGGCATACTCTTACATGGAATTCCAACTGCCAAGGGATCTTTTACGTGCACACCAATGTTTTCACGTATTTCAGACCATAACTTCCTGGATTTTGGCTCCTGATTGTACAAAAAAACGCTTATTTTTATTTTGGTTTTTTCTATATCCATGTCTTGCAAAATGTGGGCGTATCTTGCCTGGTAACTGCTTTTTTTTTTTAATTTTGCAAATTTGAGTTTACATTATATGTGTTTCTTTTTTCTTCCACAGATTTCTCACGTAAATTTAAACAATATGTTATGTCCGGCAATATCTGATCCTTTCCATGGCCCATATTATCGGCTGTGCGCAATATCTCATCAAGTTATACTCATACCAACTCTAGGAAAGATATACGCCTGGGCCGCACAGTATTTTAATATTCGACCCAAACACGATTATTGCATAGAAGAACCATGGTTAGTCTCCTCTACAAACACAACTAACGGAAAAATAAGCAATGTTACAAATAGAATTTTGTCTGGCAACAAAAGTGAAGATGTGAAACAAATTAACGGACATTTGAAGGCGAACTAAAAGCGCAAATGTGTTAGATTATGACAATTTTAACTTATATAATAATGCACAATGTCATCAAAAAATTATGAACATTTGTAAATATTAACTTAATAATATTCTTCTTTATAAGAAGACAGTCAGAATGTAAATTTGAAGACCAGGTATGAAATTTAGTCCTTTGGATTCTTTGAAGGCCAGGTATGAAATTTAGGACTAAGTCCTTTGGATTCTTTGAAGACCAGGTATGAAATTTATCACTGAGTCCTTTGGATTCTTTGAAGGCCAGGTATGAAATTTATCACTGAGTCCTTTGGATTCTTTGAAGGCCAGTTATGAAATTTATCACTGAGTCCTTTCAATTCTGAAAAGATACGTGTAAGATAAAATATCTTTCTATTGAAGTTGTAAACCTCTCAAGACACTTTAACTCTAACGCTTTGTTAATATTTCTGCTGATTTCTCTTAAATTTAATCAGGCCATATTGGATGGTTTCTCTCTTAAATTTAATCACGATTTTCTCTTAATAGTATTTAGTTAACAATATTCGGATTGGTTAGAATATACCATAGAATATCATCCAGGTTTAATGATTGGATCATTCTGATTAAAACACAGTTCCTATTTCGTTTCGTTTTTTATAGTTCAAAATTTTGTTTTACTTGTCTTCACTACACTGGGATCTGGAAGAGTTGATACATAACCTGCATTCTGAATGGCATGAGGGATTAGCCAATGAAACCATCTGTTAAAACGAGTTCTTGGCGTACTCTGCTTGGAAGTGTGGGTAAAACCATAGAAATGTCAACGCTGATTGATTAATCAATGTCATAGGGTGCGACCTCTCAGTACAACTTGTCAGATCTTCATGTAGTGTAGGCCATCGAAAGTATAAAAAAAAACGAAACGAAATATAGATCTGTATTTTAATCAGATTACGATTGGATCAAAAGGTTACAAAAATATAATAATTATATTATTTAGTAAATTGTTTCAATGGTATTTAGTAATTAAACTGGAATATACAGATCACAATTCTATAGAATACAATTACTGCTTATTACTGCTTTCAACTTGATAAAGACTCAAAACGTTATTTAGTGATAAAAAGTAATATGCAGAAAGTATTTTGTAAACAAACAGACCACTTTAAGTCTGTCCACCACTTTTCTAGAAACTTGGACAAAACTAACCTGCTATTACTGTAAAAAATGTAATTATTTTAGCACTACTAAAACCTTACAGGGGCTATGAAATTACATGTATGTGAGACAGGAAGCGAATCAAATAGGATTCCAACTGACTACCTCTAATTTAATGTATGAGTCATCATGAAATGATAACAAACTCTAGTCATTTGGCAAGGTTCATGTTAATTTCATACATACTCAGTATTTTCATTTGTGTGCTATCATTTCCATACATTGCAGCAATAGCATCTGTAGTAGACAAAGCCCAGCTTAACCGGAACAGGGCCCTGGGCCTGACTAGAATCGCGGAGTCTGATCACAGACGAAATCTATTCAGTTTCGAATGGCATACAATGCTTGGAAATGACATATAACGGCTATTACCGTGAAACTTTCATTTGGAATTTGAAATTTTTCTCTTTTTGCCATGAACCGTGTTGCCCCATAAACCGCGGGGCCCTGGGCCTCCCCATTAAGGTCCATGCCTAAGCTGGGCTTTGGTAGTAGACTCATCTAACCAGTCTGATAACTAGTCATATGTGGTTCATTACCGCTATATATTGTCGATGTTGTGTGATTTAACAGCAACACCATTATACAATCCATGATATATAAACCCAATCGGATTAAAACACAGATCCTATTTCGTTTCTTTTATAGTTCAAGATTAATTTGGTTTTACTTGTCTTTACTACACTAGGATCTGGAAGAGTTGTTATATTACCGGCGTTCTGGTTGAAGTGAGGGATTAGCCAATGAAACAATCTGTTACAGCGAATTCTTCATGTGCGATGCACAGAACTGTGGGTAAACCACAAGAAACGTCAACGCTGATTGATTTATCAATGTCTGATGTCGTAGAATCAAAAGCCATTCCTATGACCTCTAACGCAACCTTCCAGTACAACCAGTTAGATCTTCATGTAGTTGAGGCCATCGAAAGTATAAACAAGAGCATCGCTAACGCAGCAATATACGTCCACATTCCTGTTTTGTTTGATATGGTCCAGTTTGCATTGAGGGTCTGTGAAATAAAACTGGGTTGTAGGACTGCTATCAGTATAACATTTCGTTCACATTAACAGAACACAATTTTTATTTTAAAACAATCGATGTCTTTATTCTAAAAGCATGACGTTTTTTTTTTGTTTTTTTTTGCTTGATTGATAACGATAAGAGAATACTTGTGGAAACGTCGTGCTTTTAGAATAAACTAGTGATTGTATCCCATAAAAACTGTGTTCTGTTAATTTGTTCCCTGATCGCTAAATGCCACTTAAAGAATAACTAGAAATGGGCGTGGCTCTGCCCCTGGGGGTCGGGCATGCACCAAAAACAATAGGGATCTTCCTTGGGGTATAAGGAATAAGTATACCAAGTTTGAAGAAAATCCAGTAAGAATTGCGCCCTGTAGGCGACACAAAGACACACGAAAAGAAAATGGGCGTGGCTCTGCCCCTGGGGGTTGGGCATGCACCCCAAACGATAGGGATGTTCCTTAGGGTACAAAGAATGTGTATGCAAAGTTTCAAGATTATTAGTTAAGAAATGTGGCCTGTAGACGACAAACAAACAAATACTAGAAATGGGCGTGGCTCTGCCCCGGGGGGTCGGGCATGCACCAAAAACAATAGGGATCTTCCTTGGGGTATAAGGAATAAGTATACCAAGTTTGAAGAAAATCCATGAAGAATTGCGCCCTGTAGGCGAACCACAGACACACACACACACACACACACACACACACACACACACACACACATACATACATACACACACACACACACACAGACAGGGGCGACGGCATAATACGTTCACATTATGAATGTGGACGTATAAAAACGAAACGAAATATAGATCTGTATTGTAATCAGATTGATATATAGCAATAAGAAACCATGGTTACCAATTATACATGTAAAGTCTAGAATTGTACTAATAGCAATAGTTATAGCAGAGTGGGGAAATCCAATATTTAACTAAAAGGGGTGTTTGATTGTCGACTGGAACGTGCAGAATTGAAATTGACTAATACAGAATTTAGTCCTATTCAGCTATTGTGATTGCTCGAGATAGTATCATCTTCATGGTTTTAACGATTGTTTCAGCTATTGTGATTGGTCGAGATAGTATCATCGTGGCGTTAACGATCGTTTCAGCTATTGTGATTGGTCGAGATAGTATCATCATCCTCTCATTAACAGTCATTTCAGCTATTGTGATTGGTCGAGATAGTATCATAATCGTGACCTCAACAATCGTTTCAGCAATTTTGATTGGTCGCAAAAGTATCGTAATCGTGATGTTAATGATTGTTTCATCTATTGTGATTGGTCGCAATAGTATCATCGTAATTTTAGTTTAACAATCGTTTCAGCCATTGTGATTGGTCGCAATAGTATCATCGTAATTTTAACAATCGTTTCAGCTATTGTGATTGGTCGAGATAGTATCATCGTAATTTTAACAATCGTTTCAGCAATTGTGATTGGTCGAGGTAGTATCATAATCGTGACATTAACATTCGTTTCAGCAATTTCGATTGGTCGCAAAAGTATCGTAATCATGACGTTAATAATCGTTTCAACAATTTGACTTGAATTTTGAGCATATCCCATATACATTATCTATTATTCAACTATTATAGTGAGAACTGTCAGCTCTTTATCTAATCTTCCATAATGTATCTTTAATACATGTCTGGCACATGTACAACTAAAGTTAGGAAATTCCCAAGTTTTAATATGCAGTAGCTCCTGTTATTGGTCCTTTATGTACGAGTATCTTCAAATGAGTACCCTTACCATTCAAAATGCCTGGTTGTACGTGACAAGAACCCTACGCGCAACCGAATTAGTGAAATAAAATTGAACCATATGTTAGTCCCGAAATGACCTAGTTTGTGACGAGTGGACATTAAACCCCCTCTCTCTCTCTCTCTCTCTCTCTCTCTCTCTCACCATTCAAAATCTCTAATACAAATTGCCATTTCTTGTTTTATTTAATTCTATATTTATTCAATTTTGTCTGGTGGATAAATTTTACTCAATTTTAGATCTAGAATAGTTCAAGTTTAACTTGTCACCCTTTTTGATATTTACACAAATCTTAGTACAAAATTAAGTTTTTTTTAACTGATTTTGATTTTTAAGGAATTTATTTCTTGATGCATGAGACAGTGAATAAACCTCTTTGATTTAGGTGAAAATAAAGTATTAATATTGATTAACGTGTTATTTTCATCAGTTATAAAAACAATATGATTATATTTCCATTTCAAGATACTAAACAGAAGTTTGTTTATTTACTAATTTTCATTTCATTTCTGGCATAAAATGTTAGAACATAAAACCATTTATAACCCAACTTTGGCCGAATCTGGACACTTGAAATTTATAATGTAGATAGATACCCACTTTGGAAAACAAATTAACACGTACAATTTTTTAAAAATTTTACCTAAAACAAAGAGGTATGGTCATTTTAATATTCAAAATTACCAATTTTTGAGGACTGTGGATTTGTAAGTGTTATATATTTATTTTTTATGTAAATAAACTTGTACATTATTTTTTGAAGATTTTAAAAGTTGTAGATATTTTTTATGTATATTTGAAAATAGATTGGTATAAAAGGAAGTCGACAACGTTGATCAGCTATTTGTGATTTCATGTATACAGTATTTAATATGTAATTCTTTAAGAATTTAATCTTAAAATTGATAAAATAGGAACATTTAAGATATTGTTTTAGCAACTGAAATACTCAGCCAGGTTCTCTTGTATTGAACTGATCTGAGTTAATTAATTTGTGTGTGGGGGGGGGGGCTCCACTTTATAAAATGACTTTGGTTAAACTGTAAACTTGGCATGTTGTTCATGATGGATAAAATAAAAACTTATCTCACTTGATAGGAGGGACTTATGGAAGATTAGGTTTTTTTTGCAAAGTAAATAAGTTACCTCATTAAATAAAGTTTTTATTATTATTATCTCACCTGAAAGGTGTGTTGAAAAAAATGACTGCGTATTTATTGACTAATTAATGAATTTTGTAAAAAGGTGGTATCCCCACCAACTGTGGTAAATTTACATCAAACCACCCTCATGTTTGACTTTTTGGGGTGGGAGGGATTTTTTTCACAGATTTAATGTCATAGAACTGCAGAAATAATTCATTTTAATTAAAAATTGAAAGTAATCTTGACCCTTAACAATGGTCAAACTGTTTGCGGACAGCACAATTGAGACCAATAGGATTGACAGAGGGATAAAATAATTTTTGTTATTATTATTATTGTGTTCTAAATCTTTGTTTTAATATAATTATTAGCAGTAAACAGGTCCAAGTTGTTAGTTGTTTGTTGTTATTTATATGTAATTATTTGTTAATATTGTATAATCATGTACTGTGTATATATATATAACATATTCTAGTATTATAGCATCATTATAAACATCTCTAACCTAAACATACATTATTTCATGGATTTTTACTCTTAGATAAACCCAGTCTGATCAAAACACAGATCCTATTTCGTTTCATTTTTTATACTTCAAAATTTCGTTTTTACTTGTCTTTACTAGACTAGGATCTGGAAGAGTTGTTATATAAACCGCGTTCTGGATGATGTGACGGGGTTAGCCAATGAAACAGTCTGTTACGATGAATTCTTGGGGACTATGGGTAAACTCCTAGAAATGTCAACGCTGATTGATTAATCAATGTCTGACGTCATAGGGTCAAAAGCCGCTTGTATGACCCCTGACACGCCCTTCGAGTACAAACAGTCAGATCTTCGTGTAGTGTAGGCTATCGAAAGTATAAAAATACGAAATGAAATATAGATCTGTATTTTAATCCGATTGAGATTAACCTCTTTCATTTAGATGAAGACAAAGTATTGAATTAGTTTGATGTATTATTTTCATTCAATGATGAGATAAGTTGTATACGATTAAATTTCTGTTTCGAAATATTAAACATTGACTGTACCTGTGGACCTGAAATCTTTAATCTGGACAGATATATGTTTCAGAATGCAAAATAACACTTCAGGGCCCTTATTCACGAAAACTTAAACTAAGATACAATCGAAATTTTAAGAAATACTACAATTCAATTGGCTGACCAATATGCAAATTTGATATATCCAAATTGATTTTACTGGTCAGCCAATCGAATTGCAGTATTTGTTAAAATTTCGATTGTATCTTAGTTTAAGTTTTCGTGAATTAGGGCCCAGACTTTTTTTTATTTTTTTTTTATTTATATAGAAATTTTAAGTATTTGCTTCAGAATGTATCTTGTAGAAATCTAGGATAATGTCTTTAAAAATACAGGTTATTTTGAAAGTGTTAAACTTCACCATAGATTTAAAATACTAAATAATGAAATTATGTGGCTCAATGTCATTTACAGACCATATTTATCAAACTTCTGAAGTCCTAAAAAATCTTTAAAGAAAATTTTCAGGACTGTTAACCCTTTGAAGCTCAGATTATGCTCATTGGTTAAAATGTGAAATTTACAAATTCAAATTCCAGCATCAAAGGACTGACAGGCCTATTCTAAAAATGATCTTAGCGGATTCAAAAAATATTTCGGACCTCAGAAATTTTATAAGTATGATTCTCTTTTAATAAATCTTGCTTACCAATTTTGAAAATTAAGTAAGGTCGGTATCTAGGGTTGTCTCGTATTTCTGGTGAATAGTAATAACTACAGTGTATTAGTAACTCAAGAAACTAAATGACTGTTGGTAGTCACAATCACTCTAGTCAAAGATTTATCAATCGCGATCCCAGAGATAAATTTACCCTTTGTCAAGATGTGGAAAATGTTCCAAGGATCAGTAATATTTAACTCATGAAACGAATCGATGCTTCATTGTCGAGAAATCAGCAAATTTAATTCTAACAAATCCTGCTAATCAGGAGCCACTGGGGGCGGAGCTTAGGAACCACTTTCACGCTGATCAATGTCCGGCGAGTTTTACCAGAGATATAACGCGAAGGGTAAATTTATCTTTGGAATTGAGATTGAGATCTTATCTGGTGTTCAAAGTTAGAGACCAATACTTAATAATAAAATAGTTATCGATATATATGTAATATTTGTCCTGCACATTTTAACTAAACACAATGAAATAATGCCACTGCTGTGCTGTCATTGTTGATAAAAATAGGCTAGACCTCTGGAGAAAAGACCGGGAGGTTGGATGGCGGAATGGTTAGTGTGTGCGCGTTGTATCATAATGTCTGTCATTGAGTCAACTGGCATAGTTTTGATTCCCTGGTTGTATGTGACAAGGAGTAGGGTCACCTGTCCAACCTCGTGGGTTTTCTCCGGGTCCTCCGGTTTCCTCCCACTGCTAAAGACCCCTACGCGCAAGCGAATTATTGAAATAAAATTGAACCATATGTTAGTCCCGAAATGACCTTGTTTGTGTCGAGTGGACCTTAAACCCCATTTCTCTCTCTCTCTCCCCCAAATCAGTGACAGCGTATCTTTTTCATTGTTATAATGTTAAAAATCATTCATCATTTACATTGAAATTTTGCATTTATCCATTTTGATTATTTATATGATAAATTATAAATATTTTTTAAAATGCTATAAAATCCTGATATTTGATATAAAAGAAATCCATCACTGCTCTCCAACTCATCACTAATTATTGAGTCAGTGTAATCTATAGAATTCGTTTGAATGTTAGATCTGATAGTAACGTAAAATTAGGTTGCACAACAGCCACTTCTTAAAAATGTTACACAGAAGATACAGACGTGGTTTTTTATCCAAAAATTATAGCCAACTAATTCTACTAAGCTTTAAAAGTAAAAATGTAAACAGAAAAACAATTGCAAAATGCATTAGAAATGTATAATCCTAAAATTGTATAATGTATTAGAAATTTATAATCCTAAAATTGCCAAATGTATTCGAAATTTTTAATCCTAAAATTGTAAAATTCATTACCATTCTGGCATTCTTTCTTATAACCAGAGAACAATGTCACCAAGTTTTGAAAAATTTCACGGAGAACTCGACCCTGTATCATGCATATACACCAGATTTCATTAATTTGAAACTTAATGGGATATTATGGAGTTGGGAAGGGCTCATTATATCTATGAACAATCTTACCAAATTTTAATGAAAATAAATTCTGTACAGTCAAAATTTAAAAATAATTGGTTTCAAAATTGACGATACAAAAACTTGGACATTTGATAGGGCTCTTGCTTATACAGTATATAATAATATCTGATTTCCATAAGTTTCCAAAATTATATCGACAACTCTTGTCTTAATCGTGTCAATGACATTATACGTCCCTGTGGAGTATGGTTCCATTCAACTTGGAGATCAGGGGTTTGCAAAATAGCAGATATGTTTTATAATAATGTCCTACAAAATGATTTGATGTGGATCCTAGAGAATTTTATATATGAAAATATTTATATATTAATATAATTTTTCAATGGCATGTTGAAATTCCTTGAATATTTTTATTTTATTGATCAGTGAAATCTGTCTAATTTCTCAATACAAGCTGTACATTTTTTTCATATTTGAAATTCAGAATGAATATTTTATAATTCAGTAAACTAAAGTTCTAGTGTTGTGTATGTCTTAAATGATGCGGTCCATGCCACTTTTTTTATTTTCACCCAAAATATAATTGTAATTTTAAATAACATCCGAGCACAGACCAACTTGATTTGATAATGATTTTATTATTTATAACTTACAATGTCCATGTGCTGTATATATGATGTGTCCATGGGTTTGTCCTCTGGGTTTTATTTGGTTGTTAAGAGAAAAAAAATATTTTTCACCACTCTTGAAAACTACTAAAAGTTTGTACAGCTGGTAAATTTACAGTCGAAGTGTTGATATCTCAGAGATGGCTCGGCAGATATCTTGTAAACTACTATTAGAATATTTTGTTTCAAATTTTCTACACATGTTAAATTATTAATAAGAAATGTCTAGTGATGATTTTCTTAAATCTTTTATTTTCCTTTAAGAATTATATTCCTCATATGATTTTTGGTGATGACCATTATTATAGTGAACTTTTATCAGGCCTGGAAATAACGGTTTTAGATGTACCTGACAATATGTCAGGCACTAATGAAATAGTACCTGACATTTTCAACTTAGTGCCGGACATATATTAATAATATCAATAAAAAAAGACAAATCAGTGCTGGAAAAAATGGCAGGCACCAGAGGTTTAGTGCCTGACAAAGCCTGTATTTGTGCCTGACATTGTCTGTGACCGGTGCCTTATTTCCAGGCTTGGTTTGATCATCACCAAAAACCAAAGGAGGAAAATTCGGTAATCCAATTTTATGTAAATTAATTAGTGCAATAAATAGTAATATAGTATACATACTCTAGACCAGTGATTCTCAACCTTTTTTTTGCCAACGGCACACCTTGGAACACATGAAAAAATAGCGGCACACTTGGCTAATTAATATATATATGAAAAATATTTGAACTTTGCAAAATAAAAACATGGTAAGTCAGACGGCATACAACCGTAGACAGAGACTAGTCATAGACAAATAGAATGACTCAAACTAAATAAAGAAAAACACAGCTATGAACTTATTAGTAGACACCTGTGAATACTCATTTGGGATCACGTGTTTTTTTTACATTTTCTTAGTGTGATGTTCAAACTTTCGCGGCACACTTAGGAAGATCTTTAGGCACACTGGTTGAGAATCACTGCTCTAGACATTCAAATTGTGTTCACAATCTTTGATATTAGAATGATTAATATATGATTATTTTGCTTTACAATGCTTCAAAGAACTTGCCACCCGAAGATTACATTTATATGCCTGTGTAACATTTATCTATAAAATTTTACTTGTATTTTAATTCATATTTCTTTTTTTGTGTAAAAAAAGAAAATGTTGTCATGTTTGTCTTATATATTAAAAACATTATTATTCAATTAACGTGTTTGAGTGTTTTCCATTGATGCTTTGAACCACACTGATCCGCAGTGAATGTAAGTCTTAGTACACAAGCCCGTGTCTTGACATTCGAGAGAAAACATAGCAAGGGGAGGTAACTATATTATGAAACGTCAAATTCGAGATTTTCTGGAGGCAGATATAAAATGTATGACATTAACTTGAATTAAATTTATTTCAAATACAACTATTAAAATAAAAATATAGTGCCTAAATAATCCATGAGTGACAAAATACACTGTATTGAGATTTTGTACGTAGAAATCAAATATATTATTATTATTATGAATTAGGCAGAAGATCAAAAGATAGCGACACACGACAAGCTCATGATCACTTGCTCAGCAGTCACCGCCAGTTCATGCTTCACTTGTGTCTTAGAAAAGTGTAGCCGATGTCGGAATCTGTCCACCAACTTTTGGCATAAACATTTATATCTAAATCAAATCCGCATTTACTGATGAAATACCGGTAAATTGAGTGGGGTGGCCTACAGATTGACTGGTATAGCCGAATTGTCTTGGAAATTTGTATAAACAACGGTAAGGGTGTTAAAGTAAAAATAGCAGAAGCAACCATTTGCAGACCATAGATATAAATATGACGTTCTTACAGGTGACTGAGGTGTTCAGTAACACACTGACAACAACACAGCACGAATAAACTAAAGAGATTATGTATACCTGGTCTGTTGATACTATCATCACATGATCGAACTCTCTCTCTCTCTCTTGTGGTCAAGTACTGAACAAGAAGGGCCATACAGATGTACGTCACCCTTTGATGTTGGCCTACCATTATTTCAAATAATCGTACAGGCTACTTGCCAATCGTACATTATTTATACTAGTGAAATATTGGATGTTGCGTAATACATGTATATTGTAAAAACACTCTAGGCCCTCTTGTTGTTACAATATATTGATTAATGTCTCGCTCTTGACCATTAAACAATACATAATTATTAAACTCCAATCAAGACCTTAAGTCCACAAATAATTTATTGCTTAAAAGTACATAATAGAAAACATTACTGGGTAGCCAGCCTACTCTTCAAACTAAATTATTCAAATTAGCATTGTCAATGTAGTAATTAAATAATTGTCATTCTTTGTTAAATTTCTGCTAGGAAAGCATACATGTATTACTGTATAACGAATTTACTTTTATTTTTCAGAAATTCATAATATGGACTTTAAATAAATCTGTTACACAAAAATTCAGTTATAATGTCAGCAAATGATTCCCATGTAGGAATATTAGACTTTGCAGTTGGAGGAATAGACTTTGCGGTACCTGGAAATGGAGGAATGGAATGTGCTGCATACCTATCAAATACTCAAAGACTAGTTGAAAGCGTTTTATTCTTGTTGTTCGCAGCTGGTCTAATATGGTGTGGGTACAGTAAATTAAAGTTACCTCCCCTTAGAGACGATGCTTTAAATCGTGAGATGGATTATTGGGGAAAGCGCATCATGTTGTTCTCTATGTGTTTGACTTTTGGTATAGAATTGGGATATAAATTTGCATCAAAAACGATGATTTTTGTGGTTTATCCTTGTCATGTAGCAACATCCATACAGGTACTGTAATTAGTGTGTATGTCAGGTTCCCACTATTACGATTCGTGCTGCAATAGAAATCGTGGAGTAATCATGGTGATCCTATCAGGTCTTATCATATATTGAGGTCAGTCGCAGCAGTCGTGTTGATCGTATCGAAACCTATATCCGAACGTATCTACACGTACCAGATCGTGAACTCAATAGGGACAATCCTATCGTAACGCATCACGACAGTGGGAACCTAGCGTAAGATTATTTTTTCATGACTGACTCTCTTTAATATTTGCTAAGGAGAATCGGGGGATGGGGGGTGAATGGTTAGCATGTGCGTGTTGTATCATAAGGTCTGTCATTGAGTCAACTGGCGTGGTTTCGAATCCCCGATTGTACGTGACAAGGAGTAGGGTCGTCTGTCCAACCTTGTGGGTTTTCTCCGGGTCCTCCAGTTTCCTCTCACTGCTAAAGACCCCTACGCGCAAGCGAATTATAGTCTAAAATTGAACCATGTGTTAGTCCTGAAATGACCTAGTTTGTGTTGAGTGGACGTTAAATTCATTTCTCTCTCTGTCGCTAAGGAGAATAATAAGTAATTTAACTCTTAAACAAAAGATAAATGTAACCTGAAGTGGGCATATTGAAGTCAGTACAACCTGCTTTAACCACAACTGGGTAAGGTGCAAGCTTGCTAGTCTGGAGGTCGATTGTTCGATCCCTGCATTGGCCAAGAAAGTTTATCGGGATTTTCTGACGTGGTTTCCCCTGTCAGTGGTGCAGGATGGAGGATCTGAGAAGGACAGCTGTCTAGTTGTTCGGATGGGATGAGGAACCAAGATCCTGTGTGTACATTGGCATGCACGTACAAGATCCCTTGGCAGTTGGAATTCGATATGAGTAGGCCATAGTGCCACTGCCCGGGCAAAATTTCCCTCATAGTACACAGTTTGGAGTATGCCTGTCTTCATTAGCCCAGTTGGTTTCTAAGTTGACCCAAAAAGTTATACACTATGTTGAGTATTATAAAATCACAGTTTCGCAGAATTCTGGTTCATCTTTCAAAACAAAATTTTAATTGTACAGAGCTTGTCCTATTACTAACAGAAGTATTACATCTGCCTATTTTATTTTAAATGTACATATGACTACATGTATTTATGTCAATGTTTATTATATGATTATTACAGATATTTTTACTAGCAGTGCCTCCTAAAAGATATGTTACTGGTATATTTCGTTTACAGTTGTATATATTAAATGGTGCTCCATTGGCTATTATATTTCCAGTAACAGATACCAGAATTGTAAGTTCTAGTACCGTAACTCAGATATTTGTTGGTACTATTACACAGGTAACTTGAGGTGTAATCTTTTCGAAATCTCCTCCCACTGCTAAAGACCCCTATTCGCAAGCATATTATTGAAATAAAATTAAACCATATGTTAGTACCGAAATGACCTAGTTTGTGTCTGAGTGGATGTTAAACTCCATTTCTCTCTCTCTCTCTCTTTCTCTCTTTTTCTCTCTTTTCGAAATCTACATATAAATGTTTGTTATCTTCCGATACATTTCCTACACAACTACATAATATCGGAATTTATAGAAGGAAGGGGGCACACCTGAAGGTACAGGAACTTGACCCATGTTAATAGTAACTAGAATTAATTTATCTGCTCCGAATAATAAAAACAATTACACAATCAATTCTAACCCTTCACAGAAGAAAATCCACGTGTTCGATTTCTGCATTGACCAAGAATTAAAGTTCATCAGGATTTTTCCGACGTGTTTTCCCCTTGACAGTGGTGCAGGAAGGAGGGCGTGACAAAGACAGCTGTCTAGTCGTTCAGATGGGACAAAAAAAAAACGAAGGCTTGTGTATACATTGGCGTGCCCGTAAAAGATCCCTTGGCAGTTGGAATTCGATATAAGAGTAGGCCATAGTATCGCTGCCCGGGCAAAATTTCCCTCATAGTACACTGTATGGCGTATGCCAGTCTTCATAAGCCAAGTCGGAGCGGAACAGCAGGACATTAAACCCCATTTCATTTCATTAAAACTTGGAAAAAATGACAAATATTTATCCAAGGAACAGTGCCTGACAAAGCCTGAATTTTTGCCGGACAATATCTGTGACCAGTGCCGTATTTACAGGCTTGTGTAACGTGTAAATACTGAAACATTAGACTGAACCAAAGAGATATATTAAACTGATCAAGTTATGATACCAAGTCTGTTTAAATATGTGTTATAATTTCAGTTGCCTTTTGAAGTAGAATTATATTATATACAACATATTCTCATGTTGATTGTACCGTTATATCTACTGAGAATGGGAGGTAATTATATTATATACAACATATTCTCATGTTGATTGTACCGTTATATCTACTGAGAATGGGAGGTAATTATATTATATACAACATATTCTCATGTTGATTGTACCGTTATATCTACTGAGAATTGGAGGTAAATATATAATAATAATAATAATAACGCTTTATTACACAGACCGTTTCATTGGCTAATCCCTCACATCATCCAGAATACGGGTTATATAACAACTCTTCCAGATCCTAGTGTAGTAAAGACAAGTAAAACGAAATTTTGAACTATAAAAAACGAAAGAAATAGGATCTGTGTTTTAATCATATTGTCAGGAATGTGTATTTGAGAGTGTCCTTTCTGTAACCAGGGTAATTAATGTGATTTTTTTTATGGTTAGATGAAAATGGGTCATACAGTCCCTTTTAAGTGACGCAGGTCAAAAGCTTAAAGATACATTATGGGAGATTCGATAATGAGTTGGCAGTTCTCACTATAATAGTTAAAACTAGATAATGTAAAGGCAATTTGCTGAAAATTTCATTCAAATTGATCCACTATGAACCGAGAACTAAGCGATTGAAATTTCCGCCTAGCCTCGATCATCATTACTAACGTCTGTACGCTAAACAGCATAGTCACGATTATCCATTTCATCGTTAAATCATGAAGGAAAGTTATGCAGTAAATCGGCTCATAATCCACTAAAGATCACAGGCTAGCGATGCCATCTAGAGTTGATTATGGTCTGGATAGGTTAATCAATGTTTAATTAATAGTTTATATAACATTTCAGGCCTAAAGAAAGACCTGCAATAGGCAGATTTACCTCTTGCATGATGTATGTTTAACTTATCCCGTGGCCACAAGTTTTAAACTATTCATGCATTGACTATATAATATACATCTATAAGCTGAACAATATATTTGATTAATTATTATATGTTTTTTCTAGGTGTATATATTCCTGAAAAACTAAACGATTTTAGTTGGTCGTTGGTGGCATTGGGCATTCTTTTTATATATCATTTTATACCATTACAGATAGGAGCACTTGTAAGTAGTTTACATACACCATTATTTTTATTTAATGAAATGAAATGGGGTTTAATGACCTACTGTTCTGCACCAACTGGGCCTACTCTTATAATGAATTCCAACTGCCAAAGGATTTTTTACGTGCATGCCAATGTATGGACAGGACCTCGGTTTTCCATCCCATACGATTGACTAGACTGCTGTCCTTGTCAGGCCCTCCGTCCTGCATCACTGACAAGGCAAAATCCTGTCGAAAAATCCCGATTAACTTTATCAGCCAATGCAGGGATCAATCACGCGACCGCCAGGCTAGCGAGCCAGCATCTTACCCACTTAGCCACTGTGGCTCCCTTTTATTCAAAGATTTACAAATAATGTTTGTTGACAGTAAATTGTCCTTAATCTTTGATTTAGGTGAAAATAAAGTACTGAAGTGGGTTGATCTGATGTTATTTTGATCAGTAATAAGACAAAATAAATGCAATTAAAATTTCTTTTTAAATATTTAGGGAAAGTCAGGTTGTTTGCCGATTTAGAGCCTGGAGGTCCTGTTGTTCGGATAGGATGAAAAATCAAGGTCCTGTGTACACATTGGCATGCACGTAAAAAACCTTGACAGTTGGAATTGAAAATAATTAAGAATAGGCCATAGTGCCTCGAAATAATTAAGAATAGGCCATAGTGCCTCTGTCCAGGCAAAATTTCCCTGATAGCACACTGCATGGTGTACGCCCGTCTTCATTAGTCTAGGACTCAAAGCTGAACAGTAGGACGTTAATCCCTATTTCATTTCATTGCCAATTTAGTTTTGTTTTGGTTTAAACTGTTGACAGTGAAACATAATGAGCTATATCTTAGCAACTGGTTCAATCTGTGAACTTACAGATTTGATTGTAGATAGATTAGATACCCACTTCACAAAGCAAACCAAATCCAAGAAACTCAGCCAATTAATGAACATTTATTTATGCTACTAATTAAATTTGTTTAAAATCGAAAAAGAGTTGTTTGTCTTGTAAATTGAAAGTTAAAATGTCTATATCCTAGAAATGCTTTTGGTGATTGGACTCAAATTGTGTATGCAATCTAATTTTAATATCCCTGACACTGGGCGTTAAATCAAAAAAAGAATATTTACCAAACAGTGAAGACCTTAAGAGCACTGAAAACTCTTTAATACTTAAAACCTGTATTTTGTATTTTATAGTGAATTAGTAAAGTATTAATTCTCCTTATCTATGTGATTTTTTTTTCATCCACAGATTTCCCATGTGAATTTAAACAACATGTTATGTCCGGCAATATCCGATCCTTTCCACGGCCAGTTTTATAGATTGTGTGGATCCGCCCATCAGATTCTTTTAATACCTCTACAAGGAAAGATATATGCCTTGATAGCCCAGTATTTTGATATTCAACCAAAGCACGATTACGGTATGGAAGAATATTGGTTCGTCAAATCAACAACCAATGAAAAGACAGCAAATGAAAAAAGTAGTTCACACGTAAAACAAAACTGAAATGTGATATTAGTAAATAAATGAGATTATGGACTGTTTTAATTTAAATGTGTGATAACCATTTCAATTGAATGGTTATAATTTTAGCTTCAAAAGGTTTGGATGGTGAGAATGAGACGAAGTTGATAGAAATGATTTTTAGTTATAAATGTGTTGGATATTTATAATTTTAAATATGTTGGATGTTGAAATAATTTATAATTTTAAATATGTTGGATATTGAAATGTTTTTTAATTATAAATATGTTTGAAATTTATGATGTTAAATATATGTTAACCCCTTAACTGTGTAGTTTTTAAAACGTTAACTACCCCCTATTGTGTAATTAATTTGACGAAAAATGTCATTTTTGGACCCTTGTATTCCTGAATACAAACTATAGTAGTCTGAAACCATATTAAAACTAACGGTTAATAGAGTTGTCTCCCTTCAATTAGATTTCCTCGACCAGACGTAATATAACGTCCTACACATGCTGCGATTGTATGTTCGAAGAATAGGTTGGGGAAAATACCTCCAGGGCGTTATTATTACGTCCTACACACGGTGAGTGGCAGTTGTCCAGGACGTTATATAACGGCCTACGCAGTTAATGGGTTAAGGAGCTAAATCGCTAATATTTGGCACCAAGAAATTGACACAAATGGGTCACAACACATATATTAATGTAATATGAATGTACTGTAATTTCAAATCAGTTATGTTCGCCGAAATACGCCAGAAGTCTCAATGAAATGGTCATTCCAGTCTACACTGATAGTATATATTGCGCATGCTCTCCAGATTAGAATATGCCGTCACCATTTGACATGACTTGTGGAATATATGTCTAGCCTCGTTCTTCGAGTCCCTTCTTACAAATGGCACTGAAATGCATTGTGGTACACAATTCGCGTACCAATGGTAAAATGGTTATTTTGTCTTTAATATTTGATATCAGAAGACTTACAGACTTTGCTACATTAAGATATAGAGATGAATTTTATTTCTTCTGATAATGTAAATATGTTAAGTACTTGAAATAATAATTTTAACTACAAACCTGTTAAATCTTTATTACAATTTCTAACGAGCAGACATGTTGACTGACACCCTTAATTGTTGACTGCAATGCTGAAGGAGAATATTGTTTGTGCAATTGTGCCAGTGGGATAATATATACTATTCAAAAAAAGTAGGGGATATTTGATTTTGGGGGCATAATACTAAAATATGCAAATGACTACGAAAAAAGTCACTATAGAACCTAACAGAAGAAACATTTCCAGTTACATGTGACGCCCAAACGAACCAATAGCTACCGCATGGAATGCAGGTGATGCTTGGGATCATCATGGGGGTCCAACCCAAGATTTGCACGACTCTGACTTTGAATGTTACAGTCATTGTGGCATTGAATTCCAGGGTGGAAACATCAGTTTAATTGTTTTAGTGACCAGAAAACAAATTTTGATATGCGTCGGCTTACCCAAAATGAAAGGTTACGTGCCCTTGGCATGCTACAGATCGGCACAACACAGGCGGTTGTGGCGCGGACGATGAATGTTTCTCAGTCTGTCATAAGCAGGCTATGGTCCAGATACCGTGATACACAATCTGTACAGGACAGACCACGCTCAGGTCGATTTATCCGTACCTTGGCCTTGAGAAATCGTGTCATCACAGCAAATCAGATCAGCGCTCGTCTTCAAACAGACACTGGTGTGAGAGTGAGTGGCCAGACGATTCGGAATCGACTGCATAGGGGTCACCTTCGCGCCCGACGTCCTCGCGTGATCCCTTGTTTGAGAGATCATCACATTCAGGCAAGACGTCGTTGGTGTAGGGATCGTCAACACTGGGATAATCGACGCTGGAGCAATGTGATGTTTTCAGATGAGTCAAGGTTCACTGTTGATTTTTTGGACAGACGTAGGAGGGTGTGGCGTCGTCGAAACGAGCGCTTCCAAGATGTTAACGTCATCAGACATGATCGATTTGGGGGTGGTTCTGTTATGGTGTGGGGAGGCATCACTGTTGCTGGAAGAACGGCTTTACATGTTGTTGCAGGGCGTGTTACAGGCCAGTACTACCGGGACAACATCTTGGCAGTCCATGTTGTGCCGTTCGCACGACGTCATGGCCGCCGTTTCATCTTCCAGGATGACAACGCAAGATGTCACAGGGCCAGGATCGTTACAGGTTACCTCCAACAACAGAACATCACCACATTACCTTGGCCAGCACTGAGTCCCGACCTCTCCACCATCGAGCATGTCTGGGACATGCTTGGACAGAGGTTACGTCAACGTCAACAACGTCCTGCCAATGTCCAAGAAACTTGCTGCTGCGTTGCAACAGGAATGGGACAATCTGGACCAAAATGACCTTAGACGTCTCATTAGGAGTATGCCACGAAGGATCAATGCTTGTTTGGCAAACAGAGGAGGATTTACCCGTTACTGACTTGGTTGTGATGCTGTGGTAACTTTGCTGTTTGACCCCGGGTATCATTTTACCCTTATAATGGTCAGTCTGTGCCTTACTTAGTCTAACGATCATTTGGAATAAATCGATGAATGTGAACTTCATTTCATTTTGTTTCTTCGTCAGTTTCATTAGGTGACTTTAATAACACTTAAAAATCAAATATCCCCTACTTTTTTTGAATAGTATAATAGCATCTGCTTTTTTTTAAAATTCCAAAGTTTAACAAAACATTTAAGGACTGCAATTATAATCAGAGAGAGTCAGAGAGAAATAGGGTTTAATGTCCATGCGACACAAACTAGGCCATTTCGGGACTAACATATGGTTCAATTTTATTTCAATAATTCGCTTGCGCATAGGGGTTTTTAGCAGTGGGAGAACCCGGAGAAACCCCACGAGGTCGGACAGGCGACCTTAGTCCTTGTTATGTACAACCGGGGAATCGAAACCACACCAGTTGACTCAATGACAGACCTTATGATACAACGCGTACACACTAACCATTCGGCTATCCAACCCCCTCTTAGTTATAATCAGAAGTTGTGCAGTGTCCATACAAAATTCCTTAAATACATGAATTGCTGATGTGTGAAAATCTTTTGAATTTAAAAACATCAGTTTTTTATACAACAGTTGACGAATTTCCATGGATTTTTGTTTATTGACGCAGCTCTGAACAGTCTATGGAAGCAATCATTATATCTCTACTGCTATGCACATTGTATATTTTGATAAATTCATAAATAATTAAACTAATTAAGATGTAATAGATAAAATATTTTATTAATCATTAATTATAACTTTTAATTAAGTTACAAACATATCATAATTTCAATTTATTTTAATACTGTTTATTTTTATTATTGTTCATGTATTATTGTTTTAGCCATTAAATCCTAACCTTTAATCATCAGCTGTTTTTATCCACCACTGAATAGACAAAGTGATTTGCACTCAAATTTTTGTCCCCCGCCTTTCGAAGAAAGCAGGGGACTATTAAAATGGGTTCGTCCGTCTGTCTGTCTGTCTGTCTGTCTGTCTGTCTGTCCGTCTGTCTGTCCGTCACACTTTTTGGGACACAATAACTCTCTTCCTAATTGAGCTAGAATGTTCAAACTTGGTGCATGTGTTTATTAGGTCAATGCCTTGATGGAGTTCGAAGATGAGCATTTTCCGCTTAGGGTAAGCAGAGATAAGCAATTTGATTGGTTGATGCTTTGGGACACAATAACTCTCTTCCTAATTGGGCTAGAATGTTCAAACTTGGTGTATGTGTTGATTAGGTCAATGCCTTGATGGAGTTCGAAGATGAGCATTTTCCGCTTAGGGTAAGCAGAGATAAGCAATTTGATTGGTTGATGCTTTGGGACACGATAACTTTTAATTGAGCTAGAATGTTCAAACTTGGTGTATGTGTTTATTAGGTCAATGCCTTGATGGAGTTCGAAGATGAGCATTTTCCGCTTAGGGTAAGCAGAGATAAGCAATTTGATTGGTTGATACTTTGGGGCACGATAACTCTCTTCCTAATTGAGCTAGAATGTTCAAACTTGGTGTATGTGTTGATTAGGTCAATGCCTTGATGGAGTTCGAAGATGAGCATTTTCCGCTTAGGGTAAGCAGAGATAAGCAATTTGATTGGTTGATGCTTTGGGACACGATAACTTTAGTTCTAATTAAGTGAGATTGATGAAACTTGGTGTATAGTTTCATTACAGTAATACCTTGACTAAGTTTGATAATGAGCATTTTCTGCTCAGGGTAAGCAGAGCGATACGCAATTTGATTTTTATATGTGTCCTCTAATTATTTTCCTATTTCGGCGGGGGACATCAGCCTCACTGTTGGCTTGTCATCTTAACGTCCATCTAATTCAAACTGGTTAGTCAAATCAGCGAATTTATCGACATTGATTTCCAAAGCGATTACCCCAATCTGATTAAAACACAGATCCTATTTTGTTTCGTTTTTATAGTTCAAAATTTCGTTTTACTTGTCTTTACTACACTAGGATCTGGAAGAGTTGTTATATAACCCACGTTCTGGATGATGTGAGGGATTAGCCAATGAAACGGTCTGTTACGGTGAGCTTTAGGCGTGTTTTGCACGGAACTGTGGGTAATCCACTAGTAAGATCAATGCCTATTGGTTAATCAAATGTCTGACATCATAGGGTCAAAAGCCACTCGTATGATCCCTGACACGACTTTCCAGTACAACTGGTCAGATCTTCATGTAGTGTAGGCCAAAGAAAGTATAAAAAAACGAAACGAAATATAGATTTGTATTTTAATCAGATTGCGATTACCCCAGATTTCCACAGGTACTATTTGTTCGAGTGATCACATGTTTTTTTCAACTTTGTACAGCCACAAGTTTACACCTAATCGGCACATTTAACGAACTCGCCAAATTGCTTTGGTGTCAGATGACATCTCTACTACAGTCCAAGCGATTTGGCAAGTCAATAAAAACACCTATAGATTTGTCTTTCTGTTGATAGCTAACAACCACCATAAATAGTTGTCTCCCCTTAATCTTTCATTTAAAACAGGAGGACAAAATGGGTACATCTTAAAACCCTGATCTGGTATTTTGATTTTGTTTTTTTAATTAAATGTAAAATAATCAAATAGCGCATCGGGACATTAACAATGTGGAGCGTGATAATTATACCTGATCGTGGCATTTCTGTCTTTCCTCCAGTTTCCTTGTTAGTAAAATATATCAGATATATTTACCCAATTAAAAACCTTAAAACTTGGATTAATATCCTCCAATCACGATCTCTTAATTGTTATAGCTGCAGCATTCCTCTATCTTACCCAACATGCCTCTTCTTAATGAGAAGCCATTTTGGAAAAGAGTATATTTAATCCGTAATTGGCGAGGCTAGAAATTATCCACCACTCATATGATCATAATGGATGTACAGTGCACATCGTGGCTACCACTAGGTAATATATAGCGATAAAAAATAAATGGACATATTCTTGTATCACTTGCGTTAATTTCCTTTTGCATTGCCACTATCCAATAAAACATGATTCACACACAGTTTAAACATTTAACTCCAATTAGCCTCATTAACAAAACAAATAAATTATGGATAAATATAACTCAAAATGTAGGTTGTGCTCGAATACCAACCGGGGCACTGTGAATTTTACTAACAATCACTTCATTTGTCCAATCAGAATCAGAGTCGGAATTTATAATTCCATGTGAAGATTGTTTATTGGGATGGTTATCTCTATGTTGACCAATTTTATATTGCTTTTTTCTGGGTGGCTTGGAGCTTGATTTGGTAAAACTTGACACATTGTTCACTGCTATGGGCATCTGGGAATTTACTGGACTAGCCCAACAGTCTTCCCCTGACACATGGTTTTGTTTACTCTCTGCAACAGTCAATTGCGATTTTAAATTGTCTATTTCGTTTTGCTTTTCTACTAATGATTCTTCGAGATCGCGTATTATTTGGCATTGTTCAGAAACTTGAGAGGAGAGCTCTAAAACTAGTGTTGTTCTTTGACAAGCATTAGAATCAGGTATATTTTCCGAGACAGAAGATGTTTTGTTGGTCTGGGAGTCTGTTAATTTTTGGTTTTCTTCCATTAACTGGTTTATTTCATCTGTCATTTCCATTCGTTGTATCTGAGATGTTTGTTTGGCTTCGGACAGCTGTGATTTAAGGGTTTTTACTCTACGTTTGAATTTTGTATTCAGTTTCAATAATTCGGAATTTAACAATTCGATTTGTTTCTCCAGATCGACAACTTTCATATTATTACTGATTTGATCGGCTTCTGGAACATCAAGTTCATTTTGATCATCATTTGCTAATTGTTCTTTCAGAGTTTGTATTTGATCCTCCCAATCCATGTTCTGACTTTGAGCCTTCGCTAGGTCAAGTTCTAATTTTTGTATTTTATCCAACAAGTCACCGTTTTTATTTTCCTTACAATTTTCAGATTTAAATAACACGAGGACATTATCTTTCCCATCATTTTCTGTGTTTTCACCATTTTTGGTTTTACACAGAACACCAATTGGGGGTTGATTTTGAAGAGTGTCACCGGCTGAGTTTTGGGTTGGACTTTTTGCAATGTTGTTATTTATTTTTTCGTTGTTTTCAAAATTGCAAACTTTGGTACTTGCTGCAGATCCCATATTTCTGATAAATTATCTGGAAAAAAATAAAAATAAAAATTGAAGTTAACGCTAGTAGGCCTATTGCTGTTCCCATCCATCACATTGACTACGATCACAAGTTTGTTTTTGTACTCCAAAACAGCAAACTATTCGGTCATTGCTTATTAACAATTGTATTATGTGTATTACCTTGATATTCTTTTCTAATTTTTTTTCTTCTGATTTTTACATTATACTATAATCTGTAGGCAAACCATTTATATTTATATGCAGCCCCATAGACCTCTGTCAGGAAATTTGATTAGCCAAGAATTTCACATGATATAATATGGGCGGTAGGCTACTGACTTCATTTAATATAGCGCAACAAAACGTAAATAACAGCTGATATTAATCCGACTGATTTCCGATGAAACAGAGCTCCGCCCAGAACACAAAAAAATGTCATCTGGTGTGCTGTCATTGTTATCTACTTCAAGTTAATAAATGGGGAATAATTATTTTGTATAACAATTTTTGCATGACGATTGATTGATTTGCATTTTTTATTTTTATTTTTATAATCGATATAAAACTACAAGTACAAGCGAAATTTTTATTTGTTACCAGTAGGCTACAGTCTACAATCCCAACCGTACTTCACTTTGTGGAGTGGGGATAGTATGCCTCCCGTATTTGTTTTCTAATTTGTGTTGTTGGTTTTTTTTTTTGGTTTTTTTTTATTGTTGTCATTTTAAATATATACATACAAAGACTAGATAAAATTCGGCATGGATGTGTTGCTGTCTCCCTCGGTCTCAAATCGCAAGATGCTGGTGGTGATGAAGCCGATCGATTCGGAGATTGGCGTCCTTATCAACAACCCGTAGCAACCGCTTTTCGATGATAATAATAAGATCTATCAAATCATTGCCAAGAAGAAAAGGTTGTCTTGTACATCACCGAAAGCATTGTTATTTATTAAATGTGTTTGGATTGTTGATAAACATATTATAATTCTAGAAAGAACTTTTTACTTACTATACAAGAAAAACTAGGAATTTTACATTTATTGTGAGAGTTACTTCCCCTTTGATCCCGGATATCAGGTACTGCAAGTGTAATACCGGTTAGTATAAATAATAAGGCCAGTTAAATTTTTCGTTTGTCTGCGATATCACCTCGGTGGAAGCGGACGTAAAATACAACTGACTAACAGCAACTAATTTTTCGTCATAGGTCACGAGATGTAAACAGGGGCTAGCGCTAATCCCAACCCTAACCCTACAGTCTCACCAATAATCACGTGCCCTAACCTTATTTACATCTCAGCGACCCGTACGTAACTAACGTACGAAAATTAAATGGTAGCTGGCTTTTTTTTCGCACGTAAACAGTGAATGGCCATTTTGCTCAGTAATCCCAGCCAGAATTTGGCTATTTTTTTAAAATTGTGTTAAAGTTTTAAATTTTTGTTTAGAACTGAAATAAATTAACTTTTAGTCAATTCCCACGCTAAAAACATTAACAGAATTGATTGTGTATATCTGAAATAGACACGACCGAAGCACAAAATAGTGCCAATATGCCGACGTCAAATCTAGAGTTGTAGATGATGTTATTTTTGTGAAAATTCATTGGAAGAAGCGATAATTAGACGTTCTGTACGGATTATACAGTCCAGAAGGCTGCAAGAAGGCTATTGTTTACAATGTTACATTGTCTCTTGTAATGTTGATAATGATCATAACGATGGTGTTTACATTTGTTTGTTGATGTGACCTCATGACCTGTGACGTTTAGATAACGTCATATGGATATCATGGCTATTCACCGTGTCAGAGTCACTTCTCTGCAGGTAGGGTGAGTCTGTCGTTCAGATTGCTCAGCGACCTTGACAAAAATTGAGCTGGCCTTGACAAATAGATTTAGCCATGTACGATGTAATACAGTAATACCCAGTATATTCTATTATTGTTCAGTTAAAAAAATGACGTAATATAATATGTCAGTCATTGGTAATGGTTGGTATTATTTGATTATCAGTGCCACTTACCAATTCTGCACTTTTAATGTTAAAAGGAGCTAAGTGAAGGGGACGCAATGGCGCGTTTTGCACTGCTTCTGAAATGAAATTATTGCTATAATCCGGGGCGGATCCAAGTGGGTTGGGGGGGTCGACCCCCCCCCCCCCCTGCTCAGCTACATAAAAAAAATTGTAAATCAAAACTTTTTATGAGAATAGTTTCTCGGCCGTGTGCTTTATCCTTTATCGTCAGATGTGGGACAGGATGGGCACTCAAAGCACGAGATAATGATATAGACATTATGTGATTTCACAATTAATTCTTTGCATCCATGAAATTGAATCACAATGTCATTGTATTAATTTATAATAAAAATTGACGTCAAACGAATTTTGAATTTCTCTGTTTAAAAAGCTCAATGTGTATGTATATACGCCAAAATGACGATAGAGGCCATGCGGGAGGGGGGTGGGGGAGATACATTGTCTCAGGAACCTGGCAAACCCCCTCCTGCAAAAATTCCTGAATCCGCCCCTGATAATGCTCGACTAGTGTCAAACATAAATCGTGGTTCAGATATCGTAGGCCTACAAAGCGACTATCCACACCCCAAATAGCCCCAAATAGACTTTTCAAGTAACCGTGTGTGATTTAAATATTTCGAAAAATATCAAATTTATCACAGGTCACGATTTAGATCAAGCGGATTTAGGGTTGGAGACCCCCCCCCCCCCCCACGAGGCCAGGCCAAGTATAAGCGCACTTGTGAGACAAAGACCCCTCAGACCCAATCCCAAATTACGTATCTGAAATTTTTTTGGGCGACTTACGCTAAAAGCTCAGTTACATAAATATCATCACTGCCATATTCACAGTTACAATAAATCCCCATGTGAATTAGTAGTACCACTAGTGAGTGGGTCGTGGGGCGATAGACTGTAGACATGTTCTGCCAACTGTCACAAAACAGGCAGAATTCACATGCAGGCGATCGAGATTCTGATTCGTTCACAAGAATTTGCTCCAAGCAATGACCTCAAAAGCCAGGTTATTGACTCCAATTTTCTCAGAGGTAGAACACTCTCCGTACTCGAGGAATATCTTGGTTAGCGAGTCAGCGCCTTAATCCCCGAGCCACCGGGGCCCCCGCTCATGCATGTACGTTACCTATTAACGAGCAAATAATGCACGCGTCCAGATAGTAATCTGGGGCAGACTGGGTGGTTGACCCTACATAGTAATTAAACAGGCATTATTCAAGAGCTAAATCTGCACATTGCAGGTCTTTAATTAGGCCTTAAATGTTATATAAATTATTAATTAGACATTTATTAACATAACAAAACCATAATCAACCCCCGATGCCATCGGATGACTCCGATTTTAAGTAGATTGGAACGGTTCAGCCATTGATTTAATTTAAAAATGGAAGGGTGAGAACAGGTCTCGAATAACCAGCACTGTGGTTACGATAATAAACAATCAATGCTCACATCTTGCCACAACTACAAACATTGATAACTTGGCTCAGAATAAAGTAATTTGAATGAAATTTTCAATATATTCATTGTGCATTATCTATTTTTGAACCATTACAGTAAGAACGGCCAACTCTTTATCTAATTCTTGCATAAACTTTTTTAAATTTATTTTGGGTTTATTAGTAAATTTGAGTCAATCCGAACAGATGACCCAATTATGGTAGAAACGAATAGATGGGCCAATTTTGATAGAAGGAACAGAAATGTTGATTTTGCTGACCACATTTGGATGGCCGAATGTTTAGCACGTGCGCTCTGTTTCATAAGGTCTGTCAATGAGTCAACTGGCGTTGTTTCGATTCCCCGGTTGTACTTGACAAGGAGTATGGTCGCCTGTCCAACCTTGTGGGTTTTCTCCGGGTCCTTCGGTCTCCTCCTACTGCTAAAGATCCCTACGCGCAAGCGAATTATTGAAATAAAATTGTTAGTCCAGAAATGACCTAGTTTGTGTCAAGTTGACGTTAAACCCTCTCTCTCACACTGATCAACATTGAATATTCGCTAGGCCGCTCCAATCACTGATAAGGATGACATCGATGCGACTTAATGAGCCACAAATATTAACTTTTTTCTCCGACAAATAAAATTCTAAAACATTTTTTTAATGTATTAGAAAAATAAATAAAGACGTTTGACGTATTAGTAGGTAAAAATTATTTCCTATTTTAGTGTAAGTGGGTATTAAAATGAGTAAAAGGCACCATTCTGTCCGGATCAGTAACGTCTTGTGTAAACAATGCACGCGCTATTGAGCCAATGATTGATGCCGCGTGATGTGCCGTCACGTGTTGAAGGCAGTCATCTTTTACAGAGATATTAGAAATGAAATGAAATGAAATGGGGTTAACGTACTACTGTTCTGCTCCTATACTGGTCTAATGAAGACGGGCATACGCCATACAGTGTGCTATGAGGGAAATTTTGCCCGGGCAGCGGCACTATCGCCTACTCTTATATCGAATTCCAACTGCCAAGGGATCTTTTACGTGCATTCCAATGTTTACACGGGACCTCGGTTTTTCGTCTCATCTGAAGGAATAGGCAGCTGTCCTTGTCAGGCCCTCCGTCCTGCATCACTGACAAGGGGAAACCACGTCGGAGAAAATCGGGATGAACTTTCTCGGCCAATGCCAGAGATATTAGAAGACTTTCTTAATCCTAATATGGATAATAACAAAGAATTTTTTTTAAAAAAGAATCTGTAAAAATCTAAATTGCAGAAGTTGTAGTTGTGGTTACTCTTGAATTTCGAGAAGGACCCGAGGGAAAATCAGGAAATTCGTTGTACTCCTTAGAAGACTTTTCGGTAGATTTAGACGATGGAGGGGGTTGGGGCGGAGTTTTAATTTCGGACGTATCTTCTATCCGAGCTCTGCGAGCAGGAGGTTCGGGTGCTACTGTTTTGAACTGGAATAGTGACATATATTTATTGGGTATCGGGCTACCATATATTCCAATCTTTTCATCTGGTTCAACAGGGGTTGTTATAGTAGTTGTCCATTCGTATTTACCAGCTGGAGCCATGCTTTTAGAACCAGCAGCCGATTTTACCATAGCGCATTTTAAGAGAGGCGACTCTATTGTAAATGTTATGGGTGTATCTGTCGGCAAGTCTCTTTCGCCTGGTTCTAGAAGAATGCAAGCCTGTTTGGTCGTTTCACCAAATGTTTTAGGGAAAGCGCCAATATCCGCCGGCTGTTGACACTCAATTAGCAAGTTAGCAGCATGATCAAACACTTTCTGATCGGGTTCAGTCTTTGAATATAGTTTAATGATATAAAATCCCTTATATGGGAACCTCATGTGAAGCACCATGAGATTCTTCTGGAACTCTCGAATGACATAATCTTCAGCATCTTCAATGTATTTTTCCGCATGAGAGAGTTTATAAGTGAACGTGGCGTCGCCAGTTGTCCGAACAGGAAGACTCACTCGTCCATTATAGCTAACGTATAAGGTATTATATTTCATGCTTTCATCTAGCCCATATTTGGTAGGGTCGTCAACACCCCAAGCGCCAAATTGATCTGGATAAGGATCCACCTTCCCTTCGATGTCGTTCCCCTGAACCATAAAGTCTACAAGATTTGCGTAAGGACCATCTTCTTTGGGAGATATCCTACCGAACAAAGACAGGGTGTACTTTTCGGATTCAGGAGGTCGAACAGTTACTTTAAACACATGATTGGCTAACCTTTGAACCATTAAATAATTATTGCATTCCTTGCCTTTCCTATCGTAAAGTTTACCACCGACATCACAGAGAGGAACGACTGTTGTCCTGAGTTTTATTTCAACCTCGTCACTAGTTTCATGTTTATAGTTTCGGTGAGGATGCACATCCAAACCCCAGTCTATGCCTGCTTCGTAAAATTTCGTTCGCTCACTGAACTCTTCCAGCGTAATCGGTTCTCGTAGCAGCTGCCAGGGTGCGCTAGGCTCTTCGCCTCTCTCCAACATCGGAAAGTGGTCGTTGATCATTTTATCTGGATCCATCATAAAATGTCGGTCAGTGTACTTCTTCTCAAATTTCCCTTCCTTTGTCATTCGCCCAGCTCCCCATGTACATTCTATAAATCTCCAGCTGCCTTGGCCAAACACTACATTCCATGCATGATTTGTTACCGTATCTGGAGTCAATGGTCTTTCGGGATTATATGCAAACCCTTTCGAATGACCTGTCAGTATTCTATTAGGTAATTTAGCGATCCTGTAAAGATATAATATTATGAAGGATAAAAGTTTTAAAGAGTCCTAACTAAAATGATTGGATCATTCTGATTAAAACACAGATCCTATTTCGTTTCGTTTTTTATAGTTCAAAATTTCATTTTATTTGTTTGTACTACACTAGGATTTGGAGGAGTTGTTATATAACCTGCGTTCTGGATGGCGTGATGTACGGAACTGTGGGTAAACCACTAGAAATGTCAACGCCGATAGGTTAATCACATGTCTGACGTCATAGGGTCAAAAGCCGCTCGTACGAACCCAGACGCGACCTTCCAGTACAACTGGTCAGATCTTCATGTAGTGTAGGCCATTGAAAGTATAAAAAACGAATTTTAATGAGATAGGATATCATGATAAATTGTTTAGAATAATAACATATATTTCTGGAATCCAATTAACTTGATAATAAACCAGTGAATTATAATAGTATTGCCAATTTAGAAAATTAGAAGGCCCCATTACACAAGGATCAATGTTGGGTTCATACCTGTCCCTTTGCTGTGTCAATAGCGGAGGACACAAAAGTATTCATCTTATCCTCACATGTAAATACTTAAGATATAAAAAAAATTATAATTCAATCACACACGAAACTGGAGAACTTTCGGGGTTTTTTTTTCACACGCCCTTTACGTGCGCGCTGTATCATAAGGTCTGTCATTGAGTCAACTGGCGTGGTTTCGATTCCCCGGTTGTACGTGACAAGGAGTAGGGTCGCTTGTCCAACCTTGTGGGTTTTCACCTGATTCTCCGGTTTCCTCCCACTGCTAAAGACCCCTCCACGCAAGCGAATTATTGAAATAATTAATTAACCATATGTTAGTCCCGAAATGACCTAGTTTGTGTCGAATGGACGCTAAACTCTCTCTCTCTCTCTCTCTCTCTCTCTCTCTCTCTCTCACACACACACACACACACACCCACACACAGCCCTTAAAACAGTCCTTACCTACAGAAAAGAGCAAACAGTTCACTGTATCCTTGACAGACGGCTAGTTTAGAATCAAGAACAGACTGAGGATCATTTCTAGGCATTCTTTTACCAAAATAACTGTCCACGTCATAACTGAAATAAATTACGATATATACATGAATTAGTAGCCAAAGACGAAGTGATGTTCACATTAAGCTGCTTATCTTCGGGTTAAGGGGGGCCACGGTGGCGTAGTTCCCCCTTGTCAGTGGTGCAGGACGGAGGGCCTGACAAGGACAGCTGTCTAGTCGTCCAGATGGGACGAAAGACCGAGGTCCCGTGTACACATTGGAGTGCACGTAAAAGATCCCTTGACAGTTGGAATAAGAGTAGGTCGTAGCGCCGCTGTCTCCGGGCAAAATTTCCCTCATCGCACACTGTATGACGTATGCCCGTCTTCATTAGCCCAGTATAGGAGCAGAACAGTAGGATGTTAAACCATATTTCGTTTGATTTCATTTCATTTTTATCTTCGCGTTAATGTATTAATTATTACGTTAAAGGCTTGATTCATGCATTAAATGAAATGAAGTCGGACACACGACGTACAGTGTGCGATGAGTGAAATTTTGCCAGGAGAACGGCTCTAAGACCTACTCTTATTTCAAATTCCAGATGCCAAGGGTTCACGCTAACGTGTACATGGGACCACGGGTTTTCACAGAGAATTTTCTCGGTCATCACCTGGATCGAACCCCTGCACCTCTGGTTAGTGAGTCCGCGCCTTAATCACTGATTCACCGCGGTTTCGTCATGAAAAAAACCCTATAAGTTTACAACGGCAAAGCATGCTGTCCATAATGGACGTTTTGATGCAATATAAACATCTTATCGTATCTTAGCAGTTATCAGTAATTAGTGGTAAGAATAGGATTAAGAAATTCAGTATGATGTCATCCTCGCAAATCCAGAGCCTAGGCCTATTACTATATTATACTGTAACCCTTAGTATAATTCATTTGATGTCTGTTAAACCACAGCTTCATAATATCACAATAGTTCCACACCTGTGATTTGCGGAAACCATGAAACTTAGTTACCTTGGCTACAACATCGATAGACTGACAGATCCGGGCGTTCAGCAAATAACGCTCAAATTATACTAGCGCTAAGAGTAATAATTGATTCGGGTTCCTGGTTGTGTGATGATGATTAAATGTAATGGCCCTTGGTCATTAAAACACGTGAAGTTGCTAATAATGACTATTACATGAGCTAAATCCTATTTAATCATATATTATGTAAGGGCTACTTCTGCCTATTGCAGGTCTTTCTTTAGACCTGAAATGTTATCTAAATTATTAATTAGACATTAACTGATCCAGGCCATAATCAACTCTCGATGCCATCGCCAGCCTGCGATATTTAGCGGATTGGAATACATTTTGTGAAGGATGATTAAACGTAAAAATGGATAATCGAGACTACGTTCTTTATCATACCGACTTTAGTAATGATGATCATTCAAAAGCTAATATCTCGGTTCAGAGGGGAGCAAATTGACTGAAATTTTCAGCATATTCTATTTACATTATCTAGTATTTTTTTTAACTATATCAACTCTTTATCTAATCTCCCGTAGTGTATCTTTAACATACTTGATATTAGTACAGATCCACACATAAAATACTCGAATAACATCCAGATCTCTGGTACATGGTCCAACTAAATACTGTACTAATGTAGGGGGAGATAATCTCACAGAACTAGGTACCTAAAATAAAAATTATATATAGATTTCTCTACCTTTTATCAATTTTACTAATTAATTGTAATCTTTAAAAAACGCAAGTCAATTGGAAAGAGAGAGAGAAATGGGGATTAACGTCCACTCGACACAAACTAGGTCATTTCGGGACAAACATATGGTTGCACGTAGAGGTCTTTAGCAGTGGGAGGAAACTGGAGGGACCCGGACAAAATCCACGAGGTTGGACAGGCGACCCTACTCCTTGTCACGTACAAGCGAGGAATCGAAACCACGCCAGTTGACTCAATACCTTAGGATACAACGCGCACACGCTAACCATTCAGCCACCCAACCACCTCAATGGGAAAGAGGTGAACATGTTAACCACGCATTCAAAACTCATTAGCAGAAAAGAATTTTGATAAACCAGAGGAGAAATTTCTCTGGTAATCGACTAGTCTATTTTATAGTTTTTACTAATTAATATCAATAGACCATCTTCAATAGAAGGCTTGATCTCGCCTTAAAGGCTCAATACCACTCTAACAGAATAATATGTCCCAATCTTTATTCTGGTCAACAAATTGTACTATTTTACAGTATTCCAATTAATTGATGATACAAATTTCATCTTAACACACCTAATTTAAAAAATTGGAAAAATTCAACTAAATGATTTGAAAAGCCTAACGTAAACCTTTTCAAATGTAACTTGGATTTAAAAATATTTTCGAACCCTCTGGACAAGTAAAATAGGATGTAATGGATAATTTACATAACAGGTAGGACACTTAAACATCTAATACTTAGAATAAGGCTAATATTTATTTACTGGAGCTGTCAAGCCAGCAAGAGTGTCATTGTCCCTTTAAGTACGTACATCTTATCAAGCCCTTCATTTAATACCCCGCATATTTCAGCAATAATTTAGATTGGGCACTGGCCCAGCGTGAGAGTCTATCAGATTCCTCGACCATAAGGAATACAAAGTCTCGTGTTTTCCTGCTAAAATGTGTGATTATCGAGTTGCAAAGTTCATGGTTCGTTCAATGCCACGGTTTCCGTGGAGGTCGCCATGTTTGATTTGAGTGTGTTTGTGTCACAACCTCTGATTGGACGCTATCGTTCACGTGTCTCTGGTAAAGGGAGATAACGTAGCTATAAGTTTGGGGATTGTAGACCAGACTAGCAACGTCTAAATGTTGTAAAACTCGCGAGGCGAATGCTCGTTTTCATTTGCCCAGTTCGGAGCAGAACAGTAGGACCTTAAACCCCATTTCATTTCATTTTAGCATACCTCGACAGAAATACAACTTATTTTTTAGTGCGGGGGGGGGGGGACAACTTAGGTAGGGGACCTTAATGTATCTTACCGATTTAGCGTGCTCATCAATTTCCGCAAATTCTCTTAAAGATGGTATAATGTCCTTTCTAAGTGTTTTAGGGGGCGTGGGTTCTGTATTATTGGTAAATATAACAGGATGGTTAGCCGGCGGTGCCTCGCTGGATTTATCTGGAAAATCCCTACTATCATCTAGTCTGGAATCACTGCACCCCATGATCACAGTTTCTTCTTATATAAAAAATCTACATTAAAAAGAAACAATTTTAGTCAAAATTAAACATGCATTATGCAAGAGCAAAATCTGCTTATTACCAGTCTTTCTTTAGGCCTGAAATGTTATCTAAATTATCAATTAGACATTAATTAACTTATCCAGACCATAATAAACTCTCGATGTCAAGGCTAGCCTTCGATGTTGGCTGGATTAGATTCCTATATGCCGCTTAACGGCCATTGATAAGTAAATCAAAACAGTGGATAATCGAGACTATGCTGTTTATATTAATGATTTTAGTTATGATGATCGAGACTATGCGAAAATTTCACCCGCTTCGTTCTCGGCTCATAGTGGATCAATTTGACTGAAATTTTCAGCAAATTACCTTTACACTATCTAGTTTTTAACTATTATAGCGAGAACTGCCATCTCTTTATCTTATCTCCCAAAATGTATCTTTAACTCGTTTCTTAAATATTTAGACATACATTATGCAAGAGCCAAATCTGCCTGTTGCAGGTTTTTCTTTAGGCCTGAAATGGTATCTAAATTATTAATTAGACATTAATTAACTTATCCAGACCATAATCAACTTTAGAAGGCAGTGATATTTAGTGGATTGGAATACATATTTTGAAAAATAATTAAACGTAAAAAATGAATAATCGAGACATTGTTTTTTATCTACCGACTTTAGAAAAGGTGATCAAGGCTAGCCTAAAATTCAATTGCTAATATCTCGGTTCAGAGTGGAGAAATTTGACTGAAATATTCAGCATATTCTATTTACATTATCTATTTACATTATGTAAACGAAATCGGTTGTATTCTTTGCCGTGCGTTGATTATATTTTGTCGAAGATAGAAAATCACTGGCGAATAATCCTTTGTGTCAGCAGGTCTTCACAAAACTTTCTTTTATATACAGTATACTGAGAGAGGGGGGGGGGGGTGTTAACGTCCATTTCGGGACTAACATGTGGCTCAAATATATTTCAGTAATTCGCTTGCGGGAGGAAACCTAAAGACCCGGAGAAAACCCACGAGGTTGGGCAGGCGACCCCACTCCTTGTCACGTACAACCGGGGAATCGAAACCACGCCAGTTGACTCAATGACAGAACTTATGATACAGCCATCCATTCGGCCATTCCACACCCCAGTATACTGATAAATACAAGCAAATGTATAGCTAATTCCTTCCCTATTGATTCACATATTAATACTATTTGTATCAAATAACTTACCTTTTATCGCCGGGAATTTTAGAATATAATTTCCATGTAAGATGTTTTAATAAAAAAGCTTTCTTTCAATTGAATATAATGAGATTGATTTTTTTAAAAATCCTCCCTTTATATATTTCAATCGAATCATCAAAGGGTCTGCCATACGAAAAGCGATCTTGAAGACGAATTCGTAATATTTCCTACATTTCCTGCTTGAGGTATATCTATATACCAAGTAATAAAATAACGACTACAGCTTGTATAACTAAACGGTTTAATAATGACCATGTTTTGGCAACACGTCGATAGAGAAAAATACATATTGTATTGTAGAGAACTGACTATTATTATTGTATGTATTATTCTCTAGGCGTTCCACTCGTATACGATCTTTGAATAGCCTTGAACACACCGTGAAACCAGTCAAGTGTGTCCATAGATGTTGGAGAACACTACATCGGAGACAGTCCTGCGCATATGACGTCATATGTGGATTGTGACCCTAACCCACAATCCACATGAGGTCATATGTGCTAAAATGTGCAGGACCAAAGACGTCTGTGCAGGACCGTCAACGATCTAGCATTCTGCATAGAGGCGCAAAATTCTCCCCACAGTACACTGCTTGGCACATGTCCGTCTTCATCATCCCTTTTGAAGCAGAAAAGTGGGACAATAAACCCCCATTTTATTTTTAATGTAGAAAACTTTAAAACGATTTGCATTGATTATTATTTACAGTACAGCAAAGACAAGTTTGTTTTTTTAGTTTAAAAATAACTAATAACAAGTACTGTAAATTAACATTATAATTTTACAATGTAGGAAAATTTTATAATGTAAATTGTATTTCATATATTCTTGTCTATTTCTGTGAAGTCGGTGTATTATATTAATCACGCTAATATAACATAAAACTCAATGGTATTCTTTGATCATTGTACATGTATAATATAGCAACAATAATGGTGATTTCTTTGTGTATTATATATCAAAGGAAATGTATCGGTTTTATTATACATGTACCAGGAAAGTATGAATACGATAAAACACGAATGGAATAGACTGGGGTACAATCTAATTAAAACACAGATCTATAGTTCGTTTCGTTTTTGTATACTTCCGATGGACTACACTACATGAAGGTCTGACCAGTTGTACTGGAAGGACGCGTCAGGGGTCGTAACAGTTCCGTGCATGGCACGCCAAGAAGTCGCCGAGTAGTACAGACAAATAAAACGAAATTTTGAACTATAAAAAACGAAACGAAATAGGATCTGTGTTTTAATTGGATTGACTTTGGTATAACGTCGCATCAACACAATATTTCATTCAACGGTTATTTTCCATGTACCCCAATGTGTACATGAATGGACCTTCGTTTTTTTGTTCAATCCGAATGACTGGGTATATTCTCATTGTCACCCCTCGCCACTCACGTCAAAGTCCGTATGAACTTAGACTGTCTTGCTAGAGATCGTTTTTACAAGATTGTCTAATGGTTAGAGCACCCCCCCCCCCCCTCCAACCCCCCCCTCCCCAACTTTTTGTATTTCCCGTGGCAATCTGTTTTACAGAGGTATTGCGAAGACTAATAGCTCTGTAAAACTACAAGATGTCAACTTTATCATGTGACGTCACATATCACGCGACGTCAATCATTGGCTTAATGGCACGTGCATTGTTTACATAAGACGCTTCTAGTCCGGGCAGAATGGTGTCTTTTACCCATTTACACAAAATAGGAAATATTTTTCACCTACATACTTGAAACACCTTTATTTTTTCTAATGCTTTAAACAAAAATGTTCTGGAATTCAATTTGCAAAAAGAAGAAGTTAATATTTGGGGCTCATTAAGTCGCATCAATGTCATCTCTATCAGTGATTGTAGCGGCCTAGCGAATATTCACTGCTGAGCATTATTCACTGCTGAGCATTATTCACTGCTGAGCAGTGTGGATGGCCGAATGATTAATGCGTGCGCGTTGTATCATAGGGTCTATCATTGAGTCAAGTGGTGTGGTTTAGATTACCCGCTTGAACGTGACAAGGAGTTGGGACGCCAGCCCAACATCGTGGGTTTTCTCCGGGTCCCCGGTTTCCTCCCACTTGCTAAAAACCCCTACGCGCAAGCGAATTGAAACAAAATTGAAACATATATTAATCCAGAAATGACCTAGGACGTTAAACCCCATTTCGCTCACTCGTTTTTCTTTAATGTTTTTACGGACATTGAGTTTGATTGCTCAATAGGATAAGCGGAATGTCTGCTATAGTTCGGTTTTAAATCCGTTTATACAGCAATATGTCCAAAAACGAGTTGAGAAAGATACAAAGTAGGCTATATATGGAGAAGGAAAGTAGGTCGCTAAACTACATTTCATGTCATTTTATTTAGTTTTCTATTACGTTCTTCCCAGAAACTATTACGTTCTTCCCAGAAACTACTGATAAATCTCGTTAATTAAAAGTAACATCATATTTCATTAGGAACTGCAATTGTTTCTACATAACGTCGTGTTCCTAAATAGTCTCTATCATCCAGAAAAATATTCTACGTACGTTGAAGACTAGGAGGATCTGGGTGATCGAGACTAGTTCCTGAAGCAACGACTGGCAGTTTTACAACATGGAGTTAAAGATACATTCCGGGGTACAAACTGGGTGATTTGATGATATATTTGGACTAAAAACATATTCAAACTAATTAATTTATCACAATCTTGCTTCAAATCCTTCTCAAAACATTGCAATTGTCGGGGAATAGCCTGGCTATAAAAATCGATCTAAAGAGGTCATGTTTGTGTCACGTGACTTACCTCTCTCAGTACCTAGCAACGCAAGCGAAGTCGGAGGAGAATTCATTGCATACACAAGACGATGTTGTCTTTAATCGCTGACTATTTATTACAAATATCGAAGCCTAATTAAATTTTTGGATTATCCACTGCCCGCGTCTTTTTCCGTGATTTTTATCTCAGAAAGTGTTGTACGTCTAACTCTTCATAAAGTTTATCAACATGTACAACAACTGCTCAGACTCCGCGTGCAACCTTTGACGTCACGCGAGCAGACATTCCTAATCGTCGGGCTGTCGATTAGAGGAACCCTTACATTTTTGTCCTGTATACGCCCCATGATTGTTTTTCAAGTACATGTATAAGACTATTTCAAATGTTTGACACACCCATTTACGATTTAACATATTTAGGGGATCACGGTGGCTAAGTGGGTAAGACGCTGGTTCGCTAGCCTGGAGGTCGAGTGTTCGATCCCTGCATTGACCGAGAAAGTTCATCCATATTTTCCGGCGTGATTCTCCCTTGTCAGTGATGCAGGACGGAGGGCCTGCCAAGGACAGCTATCTAGTCGTTTGGATGGGACAAAAAACCGAGGTCCCGTGTACACATTGGCGTGCACTTATAAGATCCCTTGACAGTTGGAATTCTATATAAGAGAGGGGTAGGGGGGTTGGATGGTCGAATGGTTAACACGTGCGTGTTGTATCATAAGGCATGTCATTGAGTCAACTGGCGTGGTTCCGGACATAGAACAAGAAAATAAGCATAACAAGAAATCTTACAAGCAACCAAAATTTACGCCTTCAAAAGGTAATCTCCGTCGTGTTGACAAGCTTTTTCCGGACACGTTATATATATATATATATATATATATATATATATATATATATATATATATATATATATATATATATATCCTGAACAGAGGGAGAGGGAAATGGGGTTTATAGTCCACTCAACACAAACTAGGTCATTTCGGGACTAACATGGTTTAATTTTATTTCAATAATTCGCTTGCGCGTAGGGGTTTTTAGCAGTAGGAGGAAACCGGAGGTTACCTCTAATAAAAACAGCAGTGCATTTCCGCAGTTTTGTATTGTTTCTGAATATCCCCTACTTTTTTTGAACAGTATATATTCTTTCAGATTTTTTTCGAGGGGGTCGATTTCCCACCCCTGGCCCACTTAAAATGGAATGACCTCAAGGACAGTTGTCTAGTCGTTCGGATGGGACGAAATACCGACGCCCCGTGTATACACGTAAAAGATCCCCTGGCAGTTGGAATTCGATATAAGAATAGGTTATAGTGCCGCGGTCCGGACAAAACTTCCCTTATAGCACACTGTATGGCGTTTACCTGTCTTCATTATCCCAGTCGGAGCAGAACAGTAGGACGTTAAACCCCATTTCATTTCATTTTATTTGTAGATGTAGGTTCCTGATTAGATAGTCACATCAGTCCCCGTAGTGTCACATCACAAGCGTTGTAGCTGATTAAATATAGTTTATAATTAGTTTCCATGGTTACTGCTGTAATTAATCATCATGTTTTCCTGTTTCCTGACGATCTCACAATACGAATGGTACCGATGACAGGGGATTAGAATGAACAATCCCACGAGTTAATCCAGATATTGACACAGGTTAGTAGGGTTATATATTTCGTACACACTAACATTAAATTTACTAAACCACTATTAGCATTTTTCCTATCTGTACATTAGAATCTTCTATATGAATTCTTTAATACGATTGACTAGGGTTTGTTACTTTATTGACTTTCGGCTTAAGGTTTCTCATCAATCGGATTCAAATACAAATTTATATTTCGTTTCGTTTTTTATACTTCCGATGGACTACACTACGTGAAGATCTGACCGATTGTACTGGAAGGTCACGTCAGGGGTCGTACGAGCGGCATTTGACCTATGGCGTCAGACATTGATTAATCAATCAGCGTTGACGTTTCTAGTGGTTTACCCACAGTTCCGTGCATTAAACGTCAAGAAGTCGCCGTAACAGACCGTTTCATTGGCTAATCAATCACTTCAACCGGAATGCCGGTAATATAACAACTCTTTCAGATCCTAGTGTAGTAAAGACAAGTCAAACGAAATTTTGAACTATAAAAAACGAAACGAAATGGAATCTGTGTTTGATCAGACTGGAGTTCTCATATAGACCTTTATTAGTACTTGTTTGTATCTAAATTTAAAAAGATTCGTACTTTGATTGAAGTTTGAAATAAATAAAAGTCCGAGTACGTATGAAATTTAAGTGCCAAAATTTGTCTAAAAATGTCAGCTCAAAATATTGAGTCATTTGGACGTGAACGTCAAAACTGCTTATCCGGCACAGAACCCTTTTAAGATTTCGGGTCAGTTTTTTCGATGGGTGATCTGATAATCGATTCCTGTTCCTTTAGAGGCCTACACAATGAATGACACATGTGCTGTATTTGATAACGAAAGGTAAATTTCACCTACACATTATTTTTATAAAATAAAAGTCTGGTTTTATCCAGAAACCGCATAATATAGCTTGGAACACCGATCTCCATTTCCAGATGAAGACTGACAGGTTTAAGTTGTTTGAAAACGTATCACAAATATGGAGTTAGTTGCTCGGCCCTTAGGTAAAGGATTTTAAGAGATTTTAACACAAATTTATTCTCCAAAATATTATCGGGATTGGCCCTTTAATATATATTGCTCGCCCAAAATAGACCCCAAACTGCATCAAAACGAATCAATTTTCAAACATTTCTGGAGTAATACCCCCATATCCGGGGCACCCCCACCGTGGATTCGCACCGCACACACCGTATGTTTTTTTTTTCTTAATCCAGCCCCACCCCCTGTCTTGTCCAGGGTCCGGCCCAGTGATTACATGTGTTGTGATTACACACGGTTCTCAACTGAGTAGTATTTTTCATAGGTCACGAAGGAAGCTACAGTGACTCGGTGCGTGAGACGCTGGCTTGCTAGCCTGGAGGTCCCGGGTTCGCTCCCAGTGTTGGCCCAGTGCGTGAGACACTGGCTTGCTAGCATGGAGGTCCCGGGCGGAGAAAGTTCGCCGGAATTTTTCGGCACGGTTTTCGCCCCTGTCAGTTGTGCAGGACTGAGGTCCTGATAAGGACAGCTGTTTAATCGTTCAGACGAGCCAAAAAAAAAACCGAGGTCGCGTGTACACATTGGTGTGCACGTAAATGAACCCTTGACAGTTGGAATTCGACATAAGAGTAGATCGCATCGCCACTGTCCGGACAAAATTTCACTCATAGTGCACTTGATTAGCCCAGTCGGAGCAGAGCCACCATGGCTCCTAGACATTAATAATAAGAGTCTTATTGTATATCTATGAGAGTATTTTAATACGAGAGAGTAATGATACGGCTTTAATTATAATCTCACCCTACACGAGTAACTGTGATTGATTTTTTTTTCCAAGGCCAAAACAACAGACATTATATTATTGTTGTTAATTCTATTGTATTTCTACTATCTAGATATCAAGCCTGGTATTTAGCCACTGCCTATTGATGTTATTAATAAGGAAACTGTAAATTAGAAACTGAATACACCCCTTTACTGTCATCCAATCATCATTATGAAACACAGTTGAGATAAGTTCACGACAGACAGACGTCAGAATGGAGGATTCTAAATTCATTGTCAAAGTGCCTTCAAAAGAACAGAAATTATGTAAAATGAAATAACACCTGATATTTGATGTCACCAGGCGTTAATTTATATTAAACTACCGGTTTAAATCGATGATGATTGGTGAACAGTAGAAAATGGCGAATATGACAGGCCTGATTGTTAATTAGTATGGAAGGTATTGAGATTGTAAAATCATTGTCTATCGGGGCATGTTACTACTACTACTAGGAACGGTTTGACCAGAGGAGAAGTCTATTACTGATCCATTGATGTCATTAAAATAGGTACTGTAATTAAATTGTATTATAATGTTTCTTTGATAACGTTTTCGTTGATTTAACACTTAAATGCATTTGTTGATCTTTAATTCGAGAGACAGACGTACAGAGAGAGTACTGGCGCACTAAACAGGAGGTCACTGGAATTTACAGCGTGGTTTGCTCTTGTCAGCGGTGCAGAACGTAGGGCATACCAAGGAACGCTGTCTAGTCGTTCGGGTGGGACAAAAACCGAGGTTCCGTTAACGCGTTGTGATTTGACGAAGATTATGTAAAAACGCTACTGCCATCTGGACAAAGTTTCCGTCTTCTTTAGCACATTAAGCCCCATTTCATCAGATTGATAAACTGGGTGAAATACACCAGTCTTTTGATGTTCGTTTGATTATACACAATTAATTACGTTTATTTACTTGGGTGATTCACGGTGGCTAAGTGGGTAAGACGCTGACTCACTAGTCTAGAGGTCACGTGTTCGATCCCTGCATTGACCGAGAAAGTTCATTGGGATTTTCCGGCGTGGTTTCCCCTTGTCTGTGGTGAAGGGCGGAGGACCTGACAAGAGCAGCTGTCTAGTCGTTCGGATGGGACGAAAAATCAAAGTCCCGTGTATCCACAGGCGTGGACGTAAAAGTTCCCTTCGATATAAGAGTAGGCCATAGTGCCACTGCCCGGGCAAAATTCCCCCATAGCACACTGTATGACCGTCTTCATTAGCCCAGTAGGAGCAGAACAGTGGCACATTAAAGCTCATTCCATTCATTTCATTTATTTACTTGTGGAATTTGATAATCACTAAGCCGATGCTAAGATATAACCAATTTTACTCCACACGGAGAATATCGATTTTAACGTCTCGATTCCCTGATCATAAATGTTTTTGTTTAAAAAATAGCAATATCCATCCTTAGTGATGAGTCTCATGCTTGAAGCAGCAGTCTTTATTAAACGTCAGAGCTGAAATAACTATTGATTTTGTTTCCACTACAGGACAATAAATAGATATATTTTTGATCAATAAACGAGATTCATTAAAAAAAAGTCGAGTCAGGCAGGTTGACAATTATATAGTAATCATGGCTACATAAAGGTAAGATTTATGAAAATTTTGTTTGTTGATCACAGGCGTTATGACACGAAGTGGAATGGCGGTTTGTTCTCTGGCCATCAGATAGGTTAACTAGACCAAACCTAATAATACTAATTTACCGCGTTTTATAATTATTATCCTCAAGGCTCAAGAGGGGAAACACTCTCTTTTCTTAAAAAAAAATTTTCTAACCTACAGATTACACATAGTGCAAAATCGACATTTTGTGACATTGCCTTCCTAGGTCCCAAATAGGCCTATCTATGTTGATATGGAACTCCAAAGACGATGGCTTGATAGCCTGGACGTCGTGGGTTCGATCCCGGTGTTGGCCCAGAAAATTCATCGGAAATTTCCGGCGTGGTTCCCCCTTGTCAGTGGTACAGGACGGAGGGCATGACAAGTCCTTCGGATGGGACGAAAAATCTAGGTCCCGTGTACACGTTGGCGTGCACGTAAAAGATCCATTGACGGTTGGAATTCTATATAAGAGTAGGCCATAGCGCCGCTGTCCAAGTAAAATTTCCCTCATAACACACTGTATGGCGTATGTCCGTCTTCGGAGCTAGGACAGCAGGACAATTAAACCCCAATTCATTTCATTTCATTTTCCAAAACGCACTCTTAAATACCGTGACCCAGGGGTCATCACAATTTCACACTTATACTACGGATTACGATATTTATCATCGAAATTTATACTAATTGAAAATAATAGTTTGACGATGCATCACCCATGGAATCGCCTGGAGGCGGAGTGGCGCAGCGAGTAAGGAGCTGGCTCGCTAGCCCGCATTTACCAGGTTCGCTCCTAATATTGACCGAGAAAGTTCCGGCGTGGGTTCCGCGTGTCTGTGGTGCAGGACGAAGGGCTTGACAAGTCGTTCGGATGGGACGAAAAACAAGGTTCCGTGTACACGTTGATGAGCACTTAAAAGAACCCTAGGGCGTTAGAATTTTTTATAGGATGAAATTCTATAGTATTCTACATTGGGGGGGGGGGGGAGTGTAGGAAATAATGGCCCGAAATATTCTACAGTTTCTTTGCTGCAAATCCCATAATTTTTCCCGCAGAAATATGCTAAAATTTCTAAAGGAAAAAATAAAGTATTATATAGTTGTTTTTTTATTGTTTTTTTCTGTATTAAATTCTACAGTTATCTTTTTATCTTTAATCAAGTTTTGTAACAGATGGCACAGTTGTCCCACTGTCTTCAGTCCGTTAGCTAACGGATAATGACATTGACTTTCCAGCAACAGAAAATTAACGGACCGTTGACAAACGACACGTTAGAAAGATAATGATCCGCTAGAGTTTAACGGATCATCAAAATAACTTAGTTTTCAGCAACCGGTCCCTGATCATTTTGTAGTTTTTAAAATTGCATTCCTTTTTCCTGAAATTGTACGTCTAGACACAAAGATTGTGATCCTACTACATGTATACGTATATGTAGACATACATGCAGGTTTCATATAACGATATTTTAAAGACAGAAGATGATCGCCATAATTATATCTGGAGGAAATGGCAACCAATAAGTTTTTCCATTAGCTTTAATTCCCTTTTTTCAATCAATATTAATGTAGGATCTCCACCGTTGAGTATCTACATCCCCAATATAATAAAAATCAGATTACATATTAATGTAGTAACTATATCCCCGATATTATAAAAATCAGATTACATATTTTATTTGACCTATGTTTTCTTGTAGAGATAGTCGTATGATCTAATGCGTGATCACTAGATCAAAAGATCTGTCATTGAATCTCGCGTCCTACATAACAAATGAATAGGATCGCTTGTCTAATTTCGTGAGTTTTCCACGGGTCGTCCCTACGCGCAAGCAAATGATTGAAAAAAACAAAAAAACAAAACAAAAAACAAACTAGAACTCCTAAGGAGTACTGACGTGTTTCTGTATGTCACTTCACGTCACGCCTTGTCACGTCAGCAATTAAGTAACACCCAATACCTATTAAAGTGGAAAAACCTGTCATTTTGAACTCTTAATAAAACCGGAAGTTATACTTCATGACCGAGCTTTTTTTATATCAATTGTTAGTAGACACCAGGGTCATCATACATACAAAGGTCAAGGATTATGTAGATGGTGAAAAGCCGAGCGAACTTCAAAGTGAAACCGGAAGTAAACAAAATATCGATTTGAATGTTTTTGTAAAATCCAATATGGCGGCCAAGCGATTGAAAATGTTACAGAACAAGGTCTTTGAAAATGAAAGATAATATATGGGGCTAACACCACCATATGTCATTTTTTGTCTATTTTTAATATTGAGAGAACTATTCATGTTTGAAAAAAATCGGAAGGCCTCGGTAATTTCCGGTGGTTTCCGGAAGCCGTCACCAAAATGCAGTTTTAAAGGCATCGATGTGTTCCTTATTCCTACAAAGTGTCAACTTGATACATCGAATAGTGACGGAGATACGCCATCTGGAATGTCGAAAAAATGACGAAGAACACTTTCGCAAATCTTTGATGCTGATATTAATCGTTCGAACTTCCGAATTTCGAAAAACCGTCAGTCAGAGCCCATATGGGTTTCGTCCAAAGAATCCAAAAATGAAATCCCCCGGATGATCCGTTGAGAAATAACCGAGATATGGGCAATCTGGAATTATTTTTGTACCATCCGTAAAACACTGCTTGTTTGTCAAAAATGACACAATTTATATTTAATAAATAGATCAACGGAGGTCAACTACATCTACGTTGGCAGAATGTTTGCACCATGTACAGTTTTGACTGCACAAACTAACTAAATACCCCCCCCCCCCCACACCAAAAAAAAAAAAAAAAATTAAAACAGTTACAGAAACAATACTGTTTCAAAAGCCGAAGGTCCCAAACACGAAATTTACAATTTATATGTTAGCCCCGAAATAACATAGTTGGTGTCGAGTGGGCGTTAAGCCCCCCACCCCCACCCCACCCTCTCTTTCTTTCAAGATAAATGATTTACCATAACTCTCTAATTTATTATATTGCCCAGGAAAGTCATTAATTGTTTCGTCGTTCCATATATATATAATTAACTGCTATTCTGCTTTCTGTATATAGAACGGTCTGATTTTTATAGAAATTTAGATACTGCAATATAGACTTTACTAAGATAATTAGCTACACGAACGTCACTACAGACGTCGAGATAACTATAATGTCGGTCCGTAAAGAAGGGAGAGGTTTAACTACTTGAGATAGAGAGATAGAGAGAGAGAGAGAGAGAGAGAGAGAGAGGGAGAGAGAGAGAGATAGAGAGAGAGATGTGTTAACGTCCACTCGACAGAAACTATGCCATTTTAGGACTAACATATGGTTCTATTTTATTTCAATAGTTCGGTTGCGCGTAGGGTTCTTTAGCAGTGGGAGAAAACCGGAGGACCCGGGGAAAACCCACGAGGTTGGACAGATAACCTTATACCTTGTCACGTACAACCGGGGAATCGACACCACGCCAGTTGACTAAATGAGAGACCTTATGATACAGCGGGCACGCGCTAACCCTTCAGCCATCCACCCCCTACATCGTCCAACACTTATAACTTCGGTCAGTATAAAGTAATTTAAATTAAATATTTATCTTTCATTTATTTTTGAATTATTATAGCAAGAACGACCAGTCCTTTATCTCAATCTTATATAATGTATGTTTTATTTTATATAGATACAGCGAATAGATGAATGTATTTAATTCTGTATCCGTGATATCTTCGTGAACCAACAGACACAAGAGGTGGTGAACTCACGTTAACATGGGTTGTGGAAGCAGCCAATCTGCTAGTATTAACAGGAATAATTACACGAACACGTATACAGACCCTGATACTATGACCAGTACTTTAACCTATGACCGTGGTGAACCCGAGGGGAAGGAATCAAGAGATAGCGGTGAGTAAATTAAAATTATTAATTTAGTATAAAAGTTTATTTTTACATTGACTATATAATAAAAACCTGCTGCGATATATATCTATATTCGACGATACGTCAACATCTAAATATAATCTTTAACCGACTTAAAAATTGTGTAACACTATTTTAGTGATAACAGAGATCAGTTTCGTAAATATAGGATTTATTTACATCAGGTATATAACACAACTAAATCAATACTACAGAAACTAGACTATACAGGAACTAGACTACATCGGGCACTAAACTACAACAGGAACACATATAACAATATTAAATCCACCATTCTGCCCCTCTGACAAGGCTGCGGCTCAACTCGGGTGAGTCCATACGCCGGTCTTTCGTCTGCGTCTCTCCTCTGCTCTCCAGACGTCCCGTACCTGCGTCTCGTTATACTGCCCCAATTACACTGCGTATTTCCTTTGAAGTCATTATCAGGTCATGGTAGGATTACTGACCAATGCATATTCCTTTGAAGTCATGTGGATCTTGTACACAGTTCATACGTAGTTTGTAAATGACATATGGGATTAATCACATGTTTAATTAGATCATAGCCAGTCTGTGCCTTAAAGGACAATATTGGTGCCACTCATTATCACATATGCGATAGAGCTGGTTAAACACATTCCAAATATAATTTTATCTCAGAGATCATTGCTACGATAGCTGAGTAATACAGTTTTCCTGAATCGGAAGTGACGAACGCCAAAGGAAAACACGAGACGCCTCTCTATATAACTGACTGATGTGACGAATGATAACGGATATACGAGCGAATTTCTGCTCACTAAAAATTCCTTTGAAGACCAAAAGTTGTTGTGTGAGACTGTGAGAGGATATCTGACAATTCATAAAAAGAATTGACTGTCACTAGAGAAGTGAACACGAAAGAAAAACAGAAAAAGTCCGTGCATTACCATGTTTTTATAAGGTATAGAATGAATATAAACAAGGGAATGTACGGACTATTTCTATTTTTCTCGTGTTCTCTTATCTAATGACATTCAATTACTTAATGGAATTGTCAGGTATCCTCTTACAGTCCCATATAATAACTTTTGGTCTCCGAAGGAATGTTTAGTGAGCAGAAATTCGCCCGTATATCCGTTATCATTCGTCACATCAATCAGTTATTTAGAGAGGCGACTCGTGTTTTCCTTTGGCGTTCGTCACTTCCGATTCAGAAAAACTGTATTACTCAGCTATCGTAGCAATGATCTCTGAGATAAAATTATATTTGGAATGTGTTTAACCAGCTCTATCACGATGTGATAATGACTGGCACCAATATTGTCCTTTAACAGTTTATATAGAGTTAAAATGTCAATATATTATCAAAAACCAGCTGAGGCCATAAAGTTTTAAGAACCTAAATGGTCGTTTGATTTGATGAAAGTTATAGAGTACTTTGTTACAATTGAAGAACACATTTAAACAGAACACAATTATTTTTATGGGATACAATCTAACAGAACGACAAGTATCCTCTTATCGTTATCAAGCACAATAACATTTACACTTGCGACAAAACTTCTAGTTAAAGCAGCTAAATCGCTATTATTTGGCACCTAGAAATATACACAAATAGGTTGCAACGCATACAGTAATTTAATATGGATGAATATAAACTGATTTACATTCAATTGTTTCTGATTTTTTTTACTGTAAATTCAAATCTGTTATATTCGGCGAAATACGCCAGAAGTCTCAATCGAATGGCAATCTCTATATAGCGTCTGGTTATTCCAGTCTACACCGATAGTATTTATTGCACATGCTCTCCAGATAAGAATATGGCGTCAACATTTGACATGACTTGTTACAAATGGCGCTAAAACGCATTAGGTACACGATTCGTGTACCAATTGTAAAATATTCATTCTGTCTTAAAAATTGGATATCAGAAGCCCAGCTTTTCCAGGTAAGATCACAACATCAATGTTGATTTAAATTGACAAATAATTCGTGTTTTCAATGTCGAAGACTGTGGATGATATTGAGTTAGAGACTTAGTTATTTTAAAATATGTTTCGTTTTCTTGCAATCCATATTATTATTATTACTTTCAGATGCACCAGACGTTTTTGAGAATCAAGATACTACAATGTGTATAAACTATGATGCATCCGTTACTAGAGACTCTTATAGTGCGGAGAGTGTGGACGAAAGTTTTAATACATTCACTGTAACATCGGCATCGAAAAACAAACAGTGATAAAAAGAGTGGAATGTAGAAAACAACAACAGTAGAAAGAGTGAAATATGGAAAACAACAACAAAGAAAAGAGTGAAATGGGAAAACAACAACAATAAAAAGAGTGCAACTTATTGAAAAACAACAATAATGAGGGTGAAATATGGTAAACATCCGGGAAAACCAAAAAGAGTGAAATATAGTAAACAACTGGAAAAAAAACAACAAAAAGAGTGAAATCTGGAAAACAATTGGAATTAAAGTTAGTGAACCATAACAATAATAAAAGGTGTAAAATGTGGAATAAAACAACAAAACAGTGAAATATGAACAACATGTGCTCAACTAGAATCAAAATGTTTCGTTACGACAAAGAGTTAAACTGGGGGGGGGGGGAGGGGATACTCAATTGAATTCTCTCAATCCCCAAAATAATGACAACCAACCATGACAGCTGAAACATATTCATTGCGTTTAATTACGTCACGATTCTACTTACACCACCCCCGTTATCGGACTGACAGAACTGTGAGTGTGACAGAACGGAATTCAACTTCATTCGATTGCAATTCCGTCAATTTGGAACATTCCGGACTGACAATGGAGCATCCCCTATGATCCTGCTTCTTTATTATTACGATCGGTCTTTTCTTCTATTAACTGGACTTCACGTTGTGTATATAAAACAGACACTTACCAAAATATTTGTCACTTTTGTTTAAATAAAGATAAAATCGGAGATATCGTAAACGTTTATATATTTCTATAGTATATTATTCTACACATCATATACTGCATCTGTACGATGCCTGTTGAAATGAAATGGGGTTTAACGTTCTACTGACCTGCTCCGACCGGGATAATGAAGACAGGCTTACACCATACAGTGTGTTATGAGTGACTCTTATATCAAATTCCAACTGCCAAGGGCTATTTTACGTGCACGTCATACAGTGTGCTGTGAGGGAAATTTTGCGCACCTCGCCACGAATCTGATTAAAACACAGATCCTATTTCGTTTCCTTTTTTATAGTTCAAAATTTCGTTTTACTTGTCTTCACAACACTAAGATTTGGAAGAGTTGTTATATATCCCGCGTCCTGGTTGATGCGAGGGATTAGCCAATGTTGCGGCGAGTTCTTGACGTGCGGGGCACTAAACATGGCAAACCACTAGAAACGTGAACTCTGATTGATTAATCAGTGTCTACCGTCATAACCTCGTATAACCTCTGACGCGACCTTCTACTACAACCGGTCAGATCTTCATGTAATCGAGGCCATCGAAAGTATAAAAAAAACCGGAATGAAATATAGATCTGTATTTTAATCTGATTGGCAAGCCTGGTAATTATCAAACTGGATACTGAGAAAAAGACAAAGATGTCTGACAAAAATGAAATGAAATGAAATGGGGTTTAACGTCCTACTTTTCTGCTCCTATACTGGGTTAATAAAGACGGGCATACGCCATACAGTGTGCTATGAGGGAAATTTCGCCTACTCTTATATCGAATTCCAACTGCCAAGGGATCTTTTACGTGCATTCCAATGTATACACGGGACCTCGGTTTGTCGTCTCATCCGAAAGACTAGACAGCTGTCCTTGTCAGGCCCTCCGTCCTGCATCACTGACAAGGGGGAACCACGCCGGAAAATCTGGATGAACTTTCTCGGCCAATGCAGGGATCGAACACCCGACCTCCAGGCTAGCGAGCCAGCGTCTTACCCACTTAGCCACGTGATCCCCAAGATGTCTGACAGCCACAATAACCTATCATATAGTATTATAGTACCACAAACAGTGAGGAATGTGGAAAATATATTCACAACATTATAACATCAATATTGAGCGAAAACGATCAATATTCAATTCTAATTCGTGTTTTTAATTTTGTGGAAAATATTGACTTACAGATTTAACTCCTTTAAGACGATTAGCGGGGTAGGACTTATCACCATGTTTCATAAATAATTTGTGATTCTGTTAGCATAGCCCTTCTTCAATGGTTAGCGCGTGCACGTTGTATCATAAGGTCTGTCACTGAGTCAGCTGGCATGGTTTCGATTCCCCGGTTGTACGTGGTAAGGAGTAGATTCGCTTGTCCAACCTCGTGGGTTTTCTCCGGGTCATCTGGTTTCCTCCTACTGCTAATGACCCCTACGTGCAAGCGAATTATTAAAATAAAATTGAACCATATGTTAGTCCCGAAGTGACCTAGTTTGTGTCGAGTGGACGTTAAACCCCATTTCTCTCTCTCATATTTTTTTTATATCAAAAAATATCAACACTCGTAGATAAAGTAAAAAAAAGAAATCGACAAAGTCTCGGTTTTTTTTTTACTTTAGCGACTTTGTGTTGATATTTTTTGATATGAAAAAAGATGAATATGTCACCCTCTCTCTATTTATATCGACTATATTGCTCAAGGTTATAATCACGTTGATTTCCTGAACAACATTAACCTATGTTGTTTTCACACCTGATATACGATCTACTCTACACATATATCATTAATAACATTAAAGGATTAGATTAATCACTACATAATCAAATATACTTAATTACGCCTCCAGCATTGATATCACAATATCATATGCCATTCTGAGTGCCACGAGGGACATTTTGTTACCGCATACTCTTCATTGAATTTCAGCTGTCAGTGGTTCTTTTACGTGCACGCCAACGTGTATCCTACATCGGGCCTCCTGCGAGAGACAAGGCGAAATCATACTGGTAAATGTTCTCTAACCCCGGACCTTGTTATTCAGCGCTTTATAAACTTACTGACCAAGAATACACTCTAAATATATTTCAAAACATTTGACACAAGAGCAATCTTCAAATTGCCCAATCTGATTAAAACAAAGATCCAATTTCGTTTCGTTTTTTATAGTTCAAAATTTCGTTTTGCCTGTCTTAACAACACTAGAATCTGGAAGAGTTGTTATATAACAGGCGTTCTAGTTGATGTGAGGAATTAGCCAAATGAATCGGTCTGTTATGGCGAGTTCTTGGTGTGGTCAACGTTGATTGATTAATCAATGTCTGGCGTCATAGGGTCAAAAGCCACTCGTAAGACCCCTGATGCGACCTTCCAGTACAACTGGTCAGATCTTCATGTTATAGTGTAGGCCATCGAAAGTATAAAAAACGAAACGAAATATAGATCTGTGTTTTAATCAGATTGCAAAGTGTCATAACTTATGCGTGGATTGCTCGATTTGAATAACGGTTATTTGCATAATACATAATTTTAAACATGACTTGTACTCCATTTTCTGTCCCAGTGTCCCAGATACGAAAACTTGCGCTTGAAATATATCTACCCTACTTTAATACAATCTTGTCAATTAACTTTTGGGCTTCTCTTTAATCCGCCAGATTTTCTCGCTAAATCAGTAAATGAAATGAAAGGAAATGGGGTTTAACGTCCTACTGTTCTGCTCCTAACCTGGGCTAATCAAGACAGGCATACGCCATACAGTGTACTATGAGGGAAATTTTGCCCGGGCAGCGGCACTATCGCCTACTCTTATATCGAATTCCAACTGCCAGAGGATCTTTTACGTGCATTCCAATATATACACGGGACCTCGGTTTTTCGTCTCATCCGAAGGACTAGACAGCTGTCCTTGTCAGGCCCTCCGTGCTAAATCAGTAGCAATGTATACATATCATGCTTTTATGGAAAGGGTAGCACCTGCCTAGTCTATTTTTCTGCTGCATGTTCTTAATCCATATTTGATTATTATACATGTATGTACGAGGTTATACTTCATATTTTTATTTCATTGTTATACTTTCATTGCTATATTTTCATTGTATCATCCCAATGGTACATGTATATATCTCATTATATTTTCATTTCATTACATCATGTTATTCCATGTAAAATATATTTTTGTATACATGTATATTGATGTATGTTTTGTATACTGTTCTTAATGGACGTAATATGCAAATAAAAAAGTTGAAGTGTTGTGAACGGATGGGCTGTATAAAAAGGCCGTTGTATTTATCTTAATTTTGACATATTCTTGAATAAATAGTCACAGTGTCCCGAATTGCTAAAGCAAAATAATTTGACAAAAATCGTCAGAAAATAGTTTTTTTTTTATTTTAGCTGAAACATTATTTTTCTCTACTGATCGGGGGGGGGGGGGGGGGTACTAGTCCGCAGGTGCACCGCTATAAAAATACCATAAACATGGGTATATAAAAAAAACCTAAAACCCCAGCATGTATGCCATGATTGCTATTATGTCGTTATGTCGTTGTGTCGCTCTTCATACTGAAGGCGACAACCCGACATTTTAACCCGACAATACATTTTTACCCGACACCACGACATTAAAAATTGTCGGGGTTGGTGTATTACTTTTCATTGTCGGTCGGGGTTGGTGCCATTTCATTGTCAGTGCCTTAGTAGGCCCATTATTGTCAGAGTTCGTTATTGGTGTGCATTAGCCTACATGTCAACATCAATTGTAAAAATGGCAATAATAGATATTGGGGGACTAGTGCATCCACGGACTAGTGAACCCGCGGACTGATGAGCATTCACCCTACTGATATCATTCCCTAACCATCACTACTATTCGATGACATTCGAGAGACTTCTTCCTTTCTTTCTTACAGCCCGTGCAAATTTCTAATAAAATACAGAATAGTCGCGAAAACACGAGTTGCTTCCCTTGGTGGGTATTCCCCTAAATAATAACCAATCAAATACGAGATCTGCATAAAATGAACCAATCAGCTGTCATGTAAACATGAACTCCACGCGATGTTTCTCGATTGATCTTGACTGTTCTGGAAGATTAAAATAATATATAAAGCCCCAAAGCAACACCGTTTAGTCAGATAATATAAAACTGTACAAAGAGAACGTTGACGAGAATATATAACGAGAAACGATTTAAACGTTTACGTGAAAACTAGCCACAAACTTCAAGAAGAGAAACTACGTTGAAAAGCAGACGAAAAATAGACGAAAAACAAGAATTTGTGAAGACAAGTGTTAACATTACGAGAGATTTTGATAAACTTCGAAACACCAGAATAAATATGGCAAGTAAAGTTAAAGGACCAGCCATTGGTATTGATTTAGGTACAACCTATTCATGTGTTGGTGTCTTTCAACACGGAGCAGTAGAAATCATCGCCAACGACCAGGGAAACAGAACAACACCAAGTTATGTAGCCTTTACAGATTCAGAGAGATTGATTGGTGACGCCGCTAAAAATCAGGTCGCATTAAATCCGCAAAACACCATCTTCGACGCCAAAAGATTAATTGGACGAAAGTTTGATGATTCCACAGTTCAAAATGACATCAAACATTGGCCATTCAAGGTGATCAAAACTGGTGACAAACCAAAATTACAGGTGGAATACAAAAATGAATTGAAAACATTTTCACCTGAAGAAATTAGTTCTATGGTGTTGACAAAGATGAAGGAAACTGCTGAATCTTATCTAGGACAGAAAGTTACAGATGCTGTTATAACGGTACCAGCTTATTTTAATGACGGTCAGAGACAAGCTACTAAAGATGCCGGTGTTATTGCTGGATTAAACGTTTTGAGAATCATCAACGAACCAACAGCAGCTGCCCTAGCCTACGGTTTGGATAAAAACATAACTGGTGAAAAACATGTTCTTATTTTTGACCTGGG